TGTTGGATTAGCGAACACGCGACATATCTCGCCGTAGCCTGCCCATAACGACTGGATGGTTTGCAGCGATTGGAGTTCCAGCCCCTTCTCGGAAAGAAGGGTAGACGCTACTTCGTCTGGTGATACTCGTGCAGGCATCGAATCTGCTGGTTGCCGTAGACGGGCGTATAGAAGCGGTAGTAGGAAGATCGAGATGCAAGGGACGAGGAAGCAGGCGAAAATGAGCTGTGACCGTGTGATCATCCGAGCAGCGAAGAGATGAAGGTGGCAAGTGTGTAGTCTAGGTGTATAGTCAAGGGATTGGCGTTGGTGACCACCAAGGCACGCTGTTGTTGCAAAAGTACGCCGAGGGGTTGGATGACGCGACGCGTCATGCTAGTCATGTGCGGCTGACATAAGCGAGCATCATGAATCGAGCTCTCCGCCCATACACCTGGGCATGCCCCACGCCTTATCAAAGTCGTTACTGCCCGTCGCACTTCACGTCACTGCAAAACTCGAGAACCTCCACGCCACTGTACTGGACATGAACGACGAAATTTACCGAGTTGACGAGACGCCATATACACTCAAGATGGGCCACTCGAATCGACCGAACTTATGCATTGGTATCTACTACGGAGAACGGAACAAAGGTTGACAAAGCTCTAGTCGCATCTACAACAAGTACTGGAAGTAGATATTCTCCTTGTCTGTCATGTCTTGCAGACCGTTCTCTCCGTGGACCTCAGCACCTGCCTCATGGAAATGGCCGCTCATCGAGTAATCGATGGGGTTCCTAGGAAGACCGGCCGCCTCACGCTGATCGCACTTCTTCTTCTGCATCCAGGTGATGAGGACGACTTGAGCGACAACGACACCCCAGAGGATGCACCAGATTATCAAGATGCCCTTGAGAGCGTTGACCTAAAAGCGGAGTGTTAGCGATAAACTTTCCACTGAATGTGCGACAGGAATGGGGACACGTACGTATTGCGGCTGGAACTTTGCGTCGAAGATGTAAGGGGTGATGATGTTGCCTACAGAGTTGCCGGCGTTGAAAGAGGTGTAGTAGATGGCCTTCTTGGTTTGTCCGGCGCAGTTGGAGCCCATCCACGAGATAAGCAAAGGGTTGATGGCATATACGAAGGCGATCAGGTAGTAACCTGCGAGAAGACCGCCCTTGTTCTCCGGCTTTTTCGGGAGCGCGACCAAAAGAGCAACACCGACAATGACGATGGTAACCAGGCCCAGGAAGAAGGGCGACTTGCGCTTGAAACGGTATGCGAGCCACGACGCACCAAGAATGGATACGACCTGAAGCGCTCCGAAAGGCATGTTCAACAAGACAGCTTCGTCTGAGCTGAATCCAGCCAGGTTCTTCAGGATTATGGAGCCGAAGACCGAAGAGACCGACGCACCAGCATTGACAGCGATGACCATGATCATGTACAGCCAGTACTTGGGTTCAGACAAGGCCTCGGCGACATGCGACCAGTTGAATTTGTGCGAGACGATACCCTGTTGATTCGCCTTCACTCGATCAACAGCCTTCAAGCGATCTTCCGGTGTCAGGAAACGAGCCTCGCCTGGGCTATCGTGGGCCCACCAGTATGTGATAAGACCAATCACGATAGTCAAGAGCCCGAAAAAGAGATACACCATCTGGTAGCGGTACAGCGAGGACGAATTTATCTGCGCGAAACCGTAAACGATGGGTGAACTGAGAACGGTGCTAAGACCATAGCAGCTGTACCAGCAAGCCACGCGGAATGGCTGCTCGGAACGCCTGTAGAAGGCAATGGTGATCATCGAGAACAGGGGAACGACCATAGCCTCAAAGGCACCGAGGAAGAATCGAGATGCGAGCAGCCCGGCGTAATTCCTGGAACCACCGAGGCCACCGGCAACTGAAATACCCCAGCATGTGATGATGACGGGAAGAACGTGGCGGTATCGCAGCTTGACGAGGATCCACGCGGCCAAAGGCTGCACACCGAGTTGCGCATAGTATCCGATGTTGCCGATGTTTGAGTAGTCGTTGCCCTTGAGATGGGCATCCTCCTTCAGACCATAGACGGCCGTCAATCCGATGATCCCCTTGTCGGCGGACTGCAGGAAATACACCATGCAAAGGAGCGACAGCATCCAAATATCCGTCTTGCGCAGAATGCGTTTGCTGTCTGCCTCGGTGCAGATATGAGCCTCGCTTAGGCCAGCCTCCTTGCCCTCCTCATACGCCACGGCGTGGTCGATCGAAGTGTCGGACACATGCTCCATGCCGATAGCGGTCGGCTTCTCGTCCGCGGAAGCCATGTCGCAAGGTCAATGGGTGAAAAGATGGAGAAAAGAAGAGATCTGGGGATGAGCTACAGTCTGGGGTACAAGTCTGGGGTAGACGTTTATATGCCTTCGTTAACGCGACGCGAACGACACCAGCGGGACCCGGCCCAACGGCGCAACGGACTAGAATTATCCCTCCAACAGCTTTGCGCGCATTAGAAGGATGCACCGATGCATCCGTGCCTCTGTGAGCTGTGCTGATGCGAGCTTGTTGTAGCCAATAGCCCTGGCTGGAGGTCCTGATAGCAACCGGCTAAATCGATGGGAGGGAAGTGCTCGTGATGCGCCCATCGACCGCGGAAGTACGAGCTTATGTCTGGATCAACGGCTCGGACTCTAACAGACCGAGAAGGTTATGAGCGTGTTTGACGAAGTGAGTAAGGCTCACGGTGCTTTAGTGTTGACAGGTTTACCCGAGTGGTGTTGGGTTGATAGTCGAAGTCTATGGGTATAGTACGCACCGCTCCACCGTACATCAACGAGACCGACCGCCTGCCGATCTAGCCATGATCCCGGAAGCGTGGTAGGCGATGGGACGGTCAGAGCTTAGTGCACGCTCTGATGCTGTTGACACTACAAGTTTATCTAGGGATTGCCCAATAGACACTGCATCTTTTCCCTGTAATCGTCGACTGCATCTATGCTGGACGACCTTTGATGTTCGAGACAAGACTCTATGCAGTGAACAAGACTTTCTTGACCAGACGACAAGCTTTTGGCCAAGAATGACCCAGGTGGCAATCTTGGGATTCTGGAAACGCTACGGCTAGAGTGGTGATTAGCCGCCTTACGTCATCCACCAATAATTCCACCAACAATCAACTCATGCTAGCGCCACATGGCCATCTCAACTCTACGCGTACAAACATCTTTAAGAGCAATAACATCGTGGAGCACGATACACCAGCACAGAACCGATGGAATGTCGTGATGTTGGATGATCGAGTCGGTTGCCGGTAGTCAGGGCGGAGGAGCCACGACCCCACAAAATGCCTCGGTGCCCGAGCGGCTCCACCAGCATTCCAAGAAATGCGGGGTAAACGTCATAACAGCTCGAGACATCGTTGATATTCTGGGGAAACCTTGAAAGAAGAACGGTTCACACATTGCAAAACCCGCAACCACAATATCAAACACCGACAAAGCCCGATCGCCGCTGCCTCACGAACATGGCCGACCCGAAAACCTCCACTGCGAGTCAGCGCTTGACGCAGATCAAAGATTTTCTTACCATGAATAAGACGGCAACAACGATACCATGGGATCCAGATAGCACTAAATTTCCGACAAGGAAAGAGCTACCTCAGATCCCCGGTGCCCCACCGGAGGCTGCGTGGGTTTGGGGTGACAGCGACTACGTATGTTCGACCGAAGTCTAATCTAGTTGCGGGCCGAACTGATCAGATGTAGATCGGCCGTCTCAATCTCTTAACGCCTACACGTGTCGCAGCGGCTGCGAGGGAGATACGAACGGGTGAAATCGTACCTGTTAAGTCCGTGTTTCCATGATCCTTCTAATGTGTTATTGCTGACTGCGAGATAGCTTGCCTCTCAACGTGCCGAATGTTCCTGCGTTTGGTCGCGAAGTTTTTCAGCATGAGATTAAGACGCTGGCTGAAGGCATTGCCTACGACGATGTGTATCATATGAACACCCAGTCTGGCACGCAATGGGATGGCTTCCGACATTTCGCTCATATCCCCAGTGGTTCGTTCTACAATGGGGTATGTATCCAGACTTATCACAACGAAACTTTGCTGATATTCGCTACAGACTAAAGGAAGCGATATCGCCGGCCCAAACGCAAATCACAAGTGTTCCATCCACCACTGGGCCGAGCACGGCATCGCAGGTCGCGGTATCCTTCTAGACTACCGGGGCTACGCACACAAGAAGGGTATCAACTACGATCCCTACGACTACTACCCCATCTCGTGGCAGGACCTTTACCAATGCGGTCAAGACCAGGGAATCGATATTCGCCCCGCGGCTCAAGGCGGTGACATCAAGCCTGGAGATATGCTGTTCATCCGTAGCGGATGGAAGGAGGCGTACGACAGCAAGAGTGATGAAGATCGAAGCAAGGCTGCTCTTCGACATGGCAGTGGTAAGGATGGTGAGGATGGTCAGCGGTATGCTGGTGTGAGCCAGGAAGAGAAGATTCTGGATTGGCTGCATGATAGCTACTTTGCTTCTGTTGCTGGTGATGCACCGGCGTTCGAGGCGTGGCCTACACATGAGAGTACGTTTTCTCTATCTTTCGTGCGACATTAGACTGATGTTCCCAGATTATCATCTCCACGAGTACATCCTCGCCCTTTGGGGAATGCCGCTGGGCGAAATGCTGGACCTCGAGAAGCTTGCGCAAACGTGCCGCGAGAAGAACAGATGGTTCTTCTTCTTCACCTCTGCGCCTGCTAACTGCCCAGGTACGTTGATTACCCCGAGTAATAAGCTCTTGCGTCCGCTAACACCATCATAGGCGGAGTAAGCTCACACGTCAACGGCACTGCCATCTTCTGAGCAATTTGAAAACGTCCACAATCCGCGTTAAAACTACGTACATTATCATAAACACCTAGCAATCGAACAGCCAATTTCACACATTCTGTCTTGCGTGACCACCACGCGCTCTCTCACCAACACTAGATCGGGCACGTCATATCCAAAAGTGCCAGCTACGCGGCATCAGCCTTATTCAGACTCCCAGATCTCGACTCCGGAAACGATCCGGGGCACGTTCTGCGCTCTCTTCGGCGTGGACTCTCCCTTAAAACGGTCCGTGCGTTCGCGTCTGAGTCTCGCGGCATGGCAAGTGCGCCCAACGCGATTGACTCACTATCCTCTTCGATCTTCACAGCCTGCATCGCGCCGTCAAATAACGAGAACTGGATTTGCTGATTCCTCAAAAGTGCCCCATAGGCCCGGTCGCCTTCAACATCGCTGCCATCGCGTTCGACGCGTGCGTTTCGCGATGGCGGCATCGGCGGTGGCTCGTGTGTTGGTGGCGCAAACTTCACCTCGTCGACGGGGCCGTCAGTTTGCGACGTGCCGAACATGGACGACGACGAGGGATTCACATTGAGCTGGTCATTCGCGTCTGCGTCGTCTATTACATCAAGTCCGTCGGAAGGACTTGTCTTGTGCATTTGGTCCGCAGTTCCAATCCGATCATCGAAAGCAGGCAGAGAAGCACCACTTCCGTCGCGCAACCTCCTGTGTTGCTCAAGTCTTCGCCCCTCCCAGTCAACCACCACAATGCCACATTCAATAGAATCTGCAGCGACTTGCTCAGCTTCGCGACTCGCTTTCTCGCGACGGTACTTGTAGCGTTGTTGTCTTTTTGCTTCCTCGGGTGCAATTCTCTGCTTGTAGCACTCCTCGGGCGTCGCATGCGTATGATACTGACAGTTCAGCAGCGGTGACGATCTTTTGTCGCTTGAGAGGCGTCGCATAGCCGTCTCAAGCGCGGAGCAGACGAAAGGCTGCGGCAAGTCTGACGGGTTGACGTCGCCGAACCCTTCCGTCGCGTTGTTAACCCATCGATCGACCAGAAAGCGGCTTAGAGCTTTCGGCATGTAGTGTCTTTTCTCGCCAAATATGTGCGAGATGGTATCGATATCTGGTTTTACACCCTTCACTATCTTTTCCTCGAGCAGGTCCATCACGCGGTCAACGAATTCGACATCATCTATCACGTAGCCGTGTATCGCTGCGTTGATCAGCGGCCAACACGCGATCCATGTGTGCTGCGGGTTGATACCGTCGGGGTCGAAGTTGACGTCGCGATAGCGGGTGGGTATAACACCGGTGCGCCGCCATATTTGATGCATTTCCGCTGCATCGGCGTCGATGTTGCGGCGTCTGAGGAGGGTAGGCAAATCGATGTTGTCAGGAATATTCACGGTAGGCAATCTAGCCAAGCGCCGTGTCAAGTACCAGGAATCCGGGTTCTGACGGCCATATAGTACGCTGATCATTGACTGTCTCGGTGTATCCACAGCTGCATCTGGTATCGGCGGTGCCAAGTGTACCTGCACTCTGTTGGATGACTCTTCTTTCACAGGTTCTGACTGCACTGGCCCTTGCACGTTCACATCAACATCATCGATGACTTCATCGTCACTCCACAGGCTCCCGCCTTCAAGCAGCGTATGGTAATCGCTCTTCCTTGTGCGTGCCTCGATGCTTGGCCGACGGCGAAACTTGCGTCCTGTATCGCTAACATGGTCACTTCCATCGAAAATGCGGTCGACATTCCTGGGTTTCTGGCTTCTTGGACTGAGCGCGGTATTGTTGGATGAACGCGATACTGGTGTCGTTCCGGGGTTTAGGTATCCTTCAACATCGAATCCTGGAAAGTCGGCTGGTATGTGCGGACGCATGCTGCCGCGCTCGAGCCTCCTTTGGATATCGCGTTTCTCTGAAGAAGACATCTTGTCGGTAAAGAGGTTTCCCATGCTGGGGAGTAAGCCAGTCTCTGTCTTGGAAGAAATGGTAGCGGTGCAGTGTTCTGAGTTCAACGGGCCACTAATACTTTGCAAGGTTTGAGTGTCGAGAGACCCATGTTGGTCATATCCACTTGCAATCGTGTGAAGCGTGCATCTGTTTGTCATCGAAAGATATGTCACGTTACCACCAGCAAACGAACGCTCAAATTGACCGCTGATGTCACCGCTTGCCTGGCCATGACTGGATGCAATTCAGAATCTAGTCATGAAGACGACTCACTCATCACTATTCTTCCATAACAATTCATCGTAAGATTACGATGAAGACGCCAGGTACAGAGCTCGATAATCATGTCTCCATCGTCTTCGCGATATCATACCGCTCGGCATGTATACGACGCCCTCGCTACACGAGGCCACTATATCTTCGGCTAGATCAGCTTTGAAGTCGATAACTTTTGTTCTTGCAGGTCGAACAACCCTCTCGGAGCACTGCCCCACAGAACACATCGAAGTCGACTACGCTATAGCCGAACGCTCACCGTATCTTCGCATCTACCTCCCACAGCACGTGCGCGATGACCGACCTTTACTGCCTATTCAGCTCGGCGACATCGATCCAGCAGGCTTCAGGCTCTACATCGAGTGGCTCACAACCAGCATTGTCAAGTTCTCCGATCAGCGATCTCTTCAACTCCGCTCATGTATCGACCTCATCTACGCGCACATCGTCGGCTCCGCGTTCTCGCAACCCAACTTTCAGGATTACATCATCGACAAGCTAACTTCTGTTCTGGACCCGGCGCAAACGTTCGATCAGAAGATTCTTGAAATGCTGTATTTGGAAAAGCATGCGTCGACGTTACTACGGAAGTTTGTTACGGACAAGATGTTCGCGTATGACAGGAGGATGCTGGGTATGCTTCGAAATTCTGTGGAGGACATTGTGACTGGGATCAGTGATGTAAAGGGGTGTGAATACCATATCCATGATGACGGAGTGTGTTATAGGAATGGAGGGCCGGGTGAGTTTGAAGAGATGGAGAGAGGTAACGACCCAGGAGGGAAGAAGGGGAGTATTGACGATGATCCGGAACTTAATGCCATGGCAGCGCAATATCTAGGCAAATCAACGACCGCTTCAAGAACGGACAAGTCATCAAAAGTTCTGGACACCAAGCACCGTCCATCGACAGCAGGGCGCCAAACTCAGGCAAACAAGCTCGCATCGCAACTCAGAATTCCCTCCTTACATACCATGACTGCCCAAAATCTCTATCAACAAGGATCATCCATACGGTCTCTAAATGTGAGGAGTCCCCGGCCCTGTACAAGATCCTTGACTCCCGACATAGATGTTGACAAGCCCCTACCACCGACACCAGAGCCACCCCAAGCGCCCAGCACTAGTGATCTCGTTCTCGAATGTTTGGGTCGTCTCCCGCCAGCACTAGAGCAAATCTCAACACAAGAACTCCTTGAAGAATGTCTCGAGCGCACGCCGTCAGAATACCCCAGGTCCATCACGCCCTCAGACAATAACGAATTTGCGCGTCAAGTCGAACCATCAACATATTCAGCTACGCCTACAACTGCTACTTCGCTAAGATCATCGAACTACACATCTGTCTCTCGACCATCCTCACCGTTAGATCTCATACCGCCCTCCCTCCGCCCAGGCACACCCCTACCATCCACGCATCCAACCCGCAACCTGACCTTCGCCCCTCTCCCGAAATCACACCGCACAACACCTAAGCCGCGGCCTCAAACCCCAAGCGCTAACAAGTCTCACGCGACTGCCTCACTCGCCCCATACCTTCTCAGGTCAACAACCCCAGCACCTAGGCCTTCACCATCTCCATCACCATCACCTTCTCCATCCCCATCTCCATCACCCTCCCCACCCCCGTTACTTCAACGCCCCTACCATATATCCCCCTCCTCACCCTCTCTCCCTCACTTCGCTCCGTTGATAAAACGCAAACCGGCTCCACCACGAGGCGTGGATTGGCTGGAGCAATGGGACAGACTCTTCGAACTGCAAGGTACACAAGGCTTTGGATTAAGGCGGGCAGAGAAGAAAGAGAAGAAGAGTCGTTTTATGGAGATATTGGAGAGTGTGGGGAGTGGAAAAGGGAATGCAGACAGGTGTGGGTGAGATTAATGAAAGTAACTTTGTGTATATCCTGGGATGTTGAGCAGCTGGGGGCAGGGTAAATGAATGACACAGGCAACATAAGACACGCAAGCCAGATTGTATGTGAACGTTCCGTTTCATTTGCTATCGTACAGCTACTTCCTTCCTAACCCCATATTCACGTAACTCATGTTGGTATAATCATCCCCTATAATCCCATCCCATCCCATCCCATCGACAGTGTTAATCCAATACGCCGTGTCTATGCTGTGTATCCAATGCAGGTCAAGCGTGATGGCACGCGTTTATGCATGCAATGTCTCCTTGAAGCCACTGTCGGCATCCACAGTCTTGCCCTCCTCGTTGAACTCCCAGGCCAAGAACTTCCAGTTGAGTTCGCTCGGTCGCCAGAAGAGGCCTTTCTTCAGTCCGCTGCCCGCTGAGGAAGAGTCGCCTGGTCCGTCTGCTGTTATGCCGCCGGTGTGAGGCATGCGCTTGCCGAAGATGCAGCGCCGGAAGCGCGAGTGGAGGATGGCCATGGAGCACATGACGCAGGGCTCGTTGGTGAGGTAGATGTCGAGATCTACGCACAGATAGCCGCTGGGTGAGAGGTTGTCCTTTTCGTAGTATAGCTTCTCGAGACCGGTGAGGGGGTTGTCGCAGAAGAGGGAGCGGTCGAGGAGTGCAGGGTCGGTGCCGGCAGCACGCAGCCGCTTTTTCGCAACCATGGCGATGGCACGGTGGACAGCGTGAGCCATGACATTGCCAGTGCCGGTGGGCGGTTCAGCGGTGCCGGTGAAAGACCTCCAGCGGCAGTCGCCTGCAACCGCGACAATCTCGGGCTGGTTCCTGGTGCGGTCAACCACGACGACGCCAATCTTCTCACCCAGACACTGATCCGATATCTGCTGGCCGGCCGCTCGGGCAAGAGCCAGCCAGTTGCCTGCCTCGGGTTGTAGCTCCTCCTGGTTGCGTTGTACGAGGCTCGGATGGGGACCGTAGGGGTTGGTGTTCTTGTACGAGATGGGCCAGTACTTGTCGCTCCAGTCGTCAGCCTGCTGCTGGGATATGGGCGCCAGGGCCGGCACGGTTACGTAGAGGATCCGAGGGAGCGCAGTCTTGGGGCCGTCGAAAGGCGGACAGGTCCGTATCAGAGCCGCGAGGTTGGCGTGCGGCATGTGGCGCGTGGGGCACAGCAAGAAGTAGCGGACTAAATCAAAATCTTTAGCATCAGCCTCTCCATGAGCAGCCTCACTGCCAGCATCGACTGAGGACGGGGACGCGGAAAGGGAAGCGGGGGTCGCCGGTGTTAGTGGGGAAGATGGTAGTTCTGAGGCAGGAGCATCTTCGTTACCCCTGGGGAGCCTTGCAGGCGGATAGAACTGTTTCTGCAGGTGCGGCGGCAGGTACTTGAACTGCACCACGCGGCGCAGGTGAGAGATCTCCGACGTCTTGAAGTCGGGCAACGCTGCTTGCACGGCACTGCGAGCGGGCGAGGTTAGCAGAGATCAAGCGGGAGCCCCAGGAGTGAAGGCCTCACTCCTTGATTACGTTGGCAAACTTGGCCGGCACCTCGACGACATAGACGGTGTGCGTCTCCAGGCTGGCGCGCACCTCGTCCTTGGTGCGGAGGGGGACCAGATGGCCTGCGAGAGGCGGTGGGCTGCTCATAGCATCGCCTGGCGGGGGAGTCAGTGCTGAGGGCAGCTAAAAGGCTACTATGCGTCGTATAGGCGTTGGCTAAGAGGCTGGTGGTGGGATGTTGGTCGGTGGGAGCGTGAAGCCTGCGCAAAGACAACAAAAGTCTCAGGGTCCAGCGGGGCGAGCCTGCTTAACTCCGGTTGACCCTTCCTCTTTCATCACCATCACCTCCTCGCTCCTCACCAGCCCTCATCATACAGCAGCAACATGTCGCGATAGGATCTCACCCGTGGAGTAAGAAGGAAAGAGCAGGAGGTGTCTCGGGGTAAGGCGCGCAGCTCCCGACTCGTGGGCGCGCCTCCCCGCATCACGTTGCAGCGAAGGAGCGCCAATCTTCACCCAATATGGGGCCCCGCATCATCTCCTCCCGATGATTCGGTAAACATCATCCAAACGCGTCGTGAGAGGACCTCAACCCCAGCATCCAAATCTGCCGATATGCATGGCGTTGTAGCTCAAGCCCGCTGTCGCTCAGAATGCCCCGGCCAAGAGCCCACGGCATGGTGCCCCACTGCAGTATATGTGTAGTGATATGAGATGCAGGCCTCGCCCGTCTTGTCTTCATTCTCGATCCAACTTGTCGTCTGGATTAGGCAGTCATGGACAGCAAGACGGGAGCTACCCATATCGAAACCGCCCACGGTCGCGACGCCCACATCGTGCCCATCGACCAGGAAGCCAATGAGGACGTCCATCATGTCAAGCTATCGTGGAGATCTTGGATGGTCGTCTTCTGCTGTTGCTTCGCGTAAGTTACGCGCAATCCTTCTCATGACATTGCTAACTTACAATGTAGCGTCATGTCTCAAGTCTTCGTTGTAGTGGCTGCGGGATCAGTACTGTCGTTCATCATCCGCGAGCTTGGAGAACCTGCCATTGCAAGCTGGATCATCCAGGTACAGCAGACCTAACAAAAGACTTTAACACCGAATTCTAACACTCTATAGGGTCCGCTCCTCATGCAATCAGTCCTCTCCCCTCCCGTCGGTCGCCTGTCTGATGTCTTGGATCGCAAGCTGTTTGCCACCATACCTCCATTGATCGCATGCGTTGGTTCCATCATTTGTGCCAAGGCTACGAGCATGTCTATGTTGATTGGAGGCGGTATTCTCATCGGCACGACACTTGCAACCATCTCCATCGTCCAGTCTATCCCATCCGAGATCCTGCCTTTGAAGTATCGACCTCTAGCGAACGGACTTGCAGGCGTTGCCGGTGTGTTGGGCGGAACGTAAGTAGAGACCCCGCATAAGTAGATGCATTTGGCCAGTACTAACTCTGCACAGTGTCGGTAGTCTAGCAGCCGGCGCAGTGACGAATCTCAGCGCTTCTGGTTGGCGCTACATCTTCTGGATCCAAGTCGGCCTACACGGCATCACATCGCTTGGTCTCTTCGCATTCTACTGGCCAAAGAAACGCACCGACTATCCGCGGATGAGCTTCAAGGAGTGGATGTGGGCTTGCGACCCTATCGGCTCTCTTCTCCTCGTTGCTGCTGCTACCCTGATGCTTTTGGCGCTCAACTGGGCAGGTGGCGCGTACCCGTGGAGCAACCCGCACGTATGTGCCAATTTAGTTGTTGGCATTGTCCTCTTCATTGCCTTTTGTCTTTACGGTAACAACTATTGCATCAAAACTACCGAGTCGGAAGCTGACATGGTACAGAATGGAAGGGCCGATCTGACGGCATCGTGGCGCATGTCTTCTTCTCCACTGGACCCAACTTCTGGCTATCGACTTTCGCCTTTGCTATCGAGGGATGGATCTACTACTCCGCCATCAACGCTGTTACACCACAGCTCATCCTCAATGTTGGATTCGAGGACAACGCGTGGGATATTGCTATCCGTCAACTGTCTTACAAGATTGCATCTATCTTCACATCGCTTGCCGTGACATGGTACGCGACAAAGTTCAAAGACATGAGTAAGACGAAAATCCTCCTTGACAATCCCTCCCACTAACATCCCCCTAGAAACCCCCCTAGCAGCCACCTTCGCCATAATGTTCATCGCCTCAATCTGCTTCGCATTCATCCGCCCCGGCTGGGCAACCGAACAAATCATCTTCACCGCTCTAACAGGTATCGGTTGCGCAGGCCCCCTCACACTCCTAGTCGCATGCATCCAATTCACCGCCCCGCACGCCTTCCTCTCCACAGCCACCGGCCTCGCCTTCTCCGCCCGTGCCATCGGCGGCGCCTTCGGCACAGCAGTCATCTACGCAATCGTAAACTCGCGCATCGCATCCCACCTCGCCGGCGACGTCAGTTCTGCTGCCATCGCTGCCGGCCTCCCTGAATCTTCCGTCCCTGCGCTCCTGGCCGGTATGAAGGGCAGTTCTGCGCCTAAATACCGGGGTAAGGGTGTACCGGGTATGAATGAGACTATCATTACGGCTGCGTGGGACGCGAGTCATTGGTCGTATGCGCGTGCGTATAGGCTGGGGTATTGGAGCGTGGTGCCGTTTGTGGCGCTGGCTACGATTGCGGTGCTTTCGATGAAGGGGATTAAGCATTTGATGACGGAGCATGTGGAGGCGACTGTGGAGAGGGAGAGTGATGATGAGGGGAAGGGGTTGGGGAAGGCGGGGCTGTGAAGAGGGAGAATTGGGAGGGCGTGTACACGGAATGGATGAATAGTCGATTTCATATCTATGGATGTGCTGTTGAACTTGATGCTATTTCTTGCACACTACTTACGATTCCCGCAATACACATGACATACACGACGGCTGAATCTGCCCAGTAAATAAGGGAAGGGATGAGGAATAGGTCAGTACACACAGCGTCCGAACGGGCTACCAACGGACGTTTTCAATACGTGATAATCCTATACCCAGAGGTAATCTCAGATAAGGCATGTCGCAACGACAAGAGACTTGCCGTAGCATCTTCAAGTTCATGCTTAGTGCCAGTCGCTCGCGTTCAGTCATGACATGCCAGTCTCATTTCTTGTTCTGTCAAATTCTTTCCATTGACGGTAAGCTGATGTCGTGTCTAGTCATCTGAGTGGTTTGTGATGGATCTTGTTGGTGGAGCCATGGCAGTATATCGATCTTCTGGGCTTTGGGAAGAGGTGGTTTGATACTGTTGTGCTTTCTTGCTTTGCTTTGTGGATCAATGCCTATCTCCCTACCTGTGTGAGAAGGGTTCACGTTGCGATGGCAGTGTTTCTGGATGGAAATCGCGAAGGTAAAAGCAGAATGACTGTGGTGCTATATGAAATCTAAAGTCGTTGTATGCGCGTCGCCTATAAGGTAACGACAGTGGATGGTGAATGTCTTACAGGCCCTCATATTCCGTTTCTTGTTCATGCTTCCGCGTATCGCCAGCAACTTTCTAATTGCATGGCTCCTGCCTGTATATCCCTAGTCGCCTGAAGGAACTGCAGAACCAGGGCGGCGTTGAGAGCCCAGCTCTGGATTGGCCCCACGCTCAAGCAAATACTGCCCTGTCTTGGACAGATGATACTTCCTAGTCCATTGGTATGCGGTATATCCGTACCTGTCCTGGATATCGATATCTGCCCCAGCATCAAGCAGTAATTTGGCCAGGGCGATGCTTTCGTCTTGATGATAACGCATAATCCCGAGGATGAGTGGAGTTCGTCCACTGCGGGAAGCGATATTGGGATCAGCGCCGGCTTCGAGCAACATTCGGACAATTCTTTCTCCTTTATCGTATTGAACGGCGTAGAACAGTGCCGTCCTCAAGATCTTGTCCTGGCGTTCGTTGACATCCACGCCGGCATCCAAGAGAAGCTGGACTATCTCGAGTTTGGGCGTCCAGTGAATTGCTTCGGTTAGAAGCGGTCGCCAAAGCCTTTTGCTTGTGCATGTCCGATCAGCTCCCGCTTCAATCAAGATTTTTACAATCTCAGTCCTCCGATGCTTGACCGCATTGTACAAGGGCGTTGCATCGTCAACGTCTTTCGAGTTGACTGCTGCTCCACGTTCAAGAAGGAGCTCAACGATACTGGTGTGACCCAAGATCGCGGCGACATGTAGTGCGGTACACCCCGCAAACCGATTGTTCTCATCGATGCGCGCATCTATTGGCGAATTGTATGCCACCAACTTATCAGTGAGTCTCTTATTGCCCTTCGATGCGGCCCAAGTAAGAGGAGTTCGACCAAATTCATTTCTTGAGTCCAGATCGGATCCCTGCTGGATGAGCGTCACGGTGATGTCCTCCAGGCTGTGAAGAATTGCTATATGAATCCCCGTGGTATAGAAGTCTTGATGGTCATAAATAGACCGAAATCCATCCGTGGCTAAGCGTCTACGACCAGTATACGTGTAGATATAACATCTCATGACATTGGTTTGTCGTGTGAGAAAACCCACTACTCGTTGAAGACTCGACGGTGCTAGACGAGCATGGTGACCCCAATGAGCTGCCGAGTAATCGTACCATACATGGTTTGCGAAGGGACCCGGATTGTTGGGGTTGCCGTATCGATCTAAAGACAGGTAAGAGGTACAGACGTTTGTTATCATGGCCTGCGCATCCGGAAACCATTGATCCAGTGTGCGCTTTAGGTATTCTTGTGTCGTGTAGTGAACGAGCCGAATGATGCCGCTGTTATCATCCACGGTTACTAGACCAACACATGAAGCTAGAACATCCTCGATATCTGGGTAATTATCTGGGTCCAATTCCGGTTTCCCGATTTCTACAGCTAGAGCTTCTCTCAGTTGCCGTGTAGACAGGGGTCGTTGGGCGCAAGTAAGGAATGCCAACGCTTGCTTAGCGAGCTCCGTCTGATCAGCGAATTGGCCTTCTATCCTTTTCATCGCTGAATCGTATGCAGAATCATAGGCTTCCGACCCAGTAGCGAGTCTTCTCAAGGTGAATTTGACTGCTTTTACGGCCCTCTTTCCGATGAGAGAGTCAAGATGCAGCTTAGCCAAGAGAAACCTATAATCTCGTCAGCAGGGATGGTTCTAAAACTGGATGAGAGCGGCCTACATCCCGCGCACTGCCTCCACGATCTTTGACACAACCTCTTCCTGCAATACTTCATCTCTTTGCACGAAACCAGGGAGGCGAGTCATGTTCTCTGAGAGATACCTCCGCACGTCGTTGTTGTCTGCTTGAATCTTCAAGTGACAGGCTGTCTTGAACTTCTCGGTAATCTCTGGTATGAAACGCGACGTAGCGAGTAGGTTGATGTGGCATTGCTTTTGTAAGCTTTGGATACTTGACAGTAGCGTTGTGCGGCAGCCATGAGATGTAGAGCATTCATCGAGAGCATCTACCACTATAAACACTCGTGAGTATGTTGCCGCTACTGACTTTAGTGTCACCATGGTAGCTTCGATTCGATCTAGAGTTCCTTTTGGCGGTGGTTTCTTGTGAAAATCGACGACGCATTCTGGTAACGGAACTTGATGTTCGACGAGCTGTTTGAGAAGAGCTGAGAGTAGGGCTTCTAGTGTCTGCTCGCTATGACGTCTGTAATTGCAGAACAGGTGAGCCAAGCCAACCGTAGGGTCATGATGATAACGTTCTTGCAAGTCAGCGTTGATAATGGAGGCGAAGACTGTCTTTCCAGCTCCTGGAATACCAGGGCAAAACAAAGTGCGATTATCAGTGCTGAGCCAGTCTTTATAGGTCTGTGAGTGCAACAGCCATCCACCGGTACCTGGTTGCCGCCGACTAATGGCGTCCCGCTGATCTGAAGCGTGGTCGATGGGTGTGAGCCAGTCAAAGATCCGCTGACGTTCTCTCATAGCCTCTTCCGTATCCTGACGATCGTGCAGCTCTTCGACTCTGCCTCGAACGCCATTTTGGGTTGTTTGTATTGATACCAGCTCGCCATTGATGCTTCGCAGCGTGGAATGGGTTTTCTCGACGTATAAACCCAGAGCGGATTTTACGTAGGTGAGATGTTGTTCATTGCGCTTTGAACTAGTGTTGATCTCGATGAGTAGTGATGTCGCATTGTTATGAAGAGCGAAAGTCACCATATCCATCTCGCACTTAATCGCCTCGATCAGCTTCTCCACGTCTTTCTCCCTAAAAGGCCATCCCAACTTCTCGACAATGCCATCTCGGGTAGATAAAGCGACGGCTGCCAGGCTTAAAGCCTCCTGAAGGCGCGCAAGCGGAGTAGAGAGTAACTTCAGAGTCTTGGACCACTCTTCGAGTTCGTCGGAGTCTGCTACGTCGTCTTGCAGCTGAAGTAGCAGATTACTGCAGGCTCGGACCTGTGAGCGGAGGCGATGTTTTACTTCCTTGGCTCCGGATACGGCAATGATGTATTTGATCACCTTTTCACATAGCTGGGTGACTGCTATGATGCTTGCGGTCGTCTCCATGTGTGCCGTAGTGATGGTGTCATGTCTTGGTGAGATGGCACAAGATGCGGGGTTGATGGGAGCCCCAATCAAGCTCATGCACGATGGGAGGCTGTGTCACACTGCGGCAGCAGGCAACGAATGCGCGATCATCAATGAGTGACAACATGATGCGAATATGTGGAGAGTTCGCTATCATCTCGTGTCGAGGTGTTCGTGATGCGAGTGGAAGACGACGACGTGTGGCTACCCAGGTAAGCAAGTGGTACCTAGGTACCCGTGGACCAAGCGCCAACACCGCGTCACGTGACGTTTGGGAGCCCGGCCAATTTTGGCGAGTTGGCATCTTTGCGAGCCGTGTTTTTCAGATTAAGTCATCACACTGTATTACGCGACGCGTAAAGCGAACGAGGACACTATTAAAAAAATCGAACCATATCTCAGCGTAATCAATGAACTCATGCAGGTGTAAAGTTTTGGGCTCTAGTGTCAGAATATCAAATTCCCTTCATGTGGGGAGTTTCCCCTTGATGTATTCGTATTTAAGCTTCAATGAGACTCATGGTGGTAAAACCCTCCAGGATACTAGGGGTTTCAAGTAGCATTTCATCGTCTTACTTCGTGTTCAATCCAATAATCCCGGTCTTTCTTGAGCTCTTCTGGAGATTGGATATACTTACGGAGCTTGTCTATGCACCATATTCGCGATTTGTTATCTGGTACGAGACTCACTCTGGCGCCAAACAAGACAGCGATGGGTACGATGTAGCCTCTTTCCCGGACGCAAGCCCCATGAAGTAGCGGCTGTCCTTCTTTATCGCATATGTTAGGATCGGCTCCCGCGTTGAGCATCACGCTGATAGATGCGTCGTGTGTGAACATGCTGCAGATAGTAAGTAGTGGGGTTCTGCCTTCAAGATCCTGGAAGTTTACGTCTGCGCCCTTGTCAAGAAGATGCTCGAGCAGAGAAATGTTCTCATCAAAGGCACTGGAGTGCAAAACAGTCCTGCCCCAGTTGTTCGCGCAGTTGATGTCGGCTCCAGCATCGAGCAGCACGTCGATGATCTCTCGATCTTGTTTGTCAACGGCCATCGCCAGCGGGCTCTTGTGGCGATATCTATTGTGAGCATACCCGCCCTTCAGGTTCACGTCAACCCCGTGATCGATAAGAAGTCGGATGATATCCACATATCCGCGATCCACTGCTATGTACAGCGGTGAGTAGCGAGTCCACACACGACTTTCTATCTGAGGCTGTCCATACAGCATCGCGTCCATGATATTTTGAGTCGCCGTGTCCGCAATGACGAGCTGAACTATGCCGATGTTTCCACTGTGAACTGCGAAGTGGAGCGTCGAATAGCGATACCCGCTTTTCGAATCTGTCTTAGCGCCGTGGCGAAGAAGTAGTCTGACTGTCTCAAGATGACCACTTTCAGCAGCCAGCATTAGTGGAGTAAGTCCTAGTCGGTCTGGTGCGTTCACATCGTATCCTCGCCGGAGTAGTGCGACCAGTGTGTCGCAAAGTCCAAAGTGAGCGGCCAAATGGATACCCGACGTCGAATCCTGGGATGACCGCGGACGCCTAAATGATATGTCATTATAATCGTCCGGTCGATCCGCCAACGAACTGAGTATTATCAAGGCAGAGCATTTAAGATTCCACGACAGCCCAAAGAAGTCGATGGCCATTCGATTAACTCCAGCCAACATGCGAGCGTGACGTCCCCAATTGCATGCAGCATAACAGTACAAAGGGTCCCAGTGTGCGGGGAACTTTTGAAGGTAATTACAGTATTCAAGCTTCTCGGTCAGGTCCGAATATAGGCCCGCAGTTCCGTATTCCTCCATGGAAAGATATGCGATGCAAGCTTCTGTGATCACAGTCTCTGCTTCCGGAAACCATCGATGCCGTGTTCGATCCAGATATTCCTGAGTGGTGTAGTGTACCAAACGGATGATGTTACTTTCTTCGTCGATCGTCACTAGGCCAGCGCAAGCGGAAATCATATCCAGAACGTCTGGACAGTCATCTTCATCGAATGTAGATTGTCCTACTTGTATGCCAAGCGCTTTGCGAAGGTCCGCAGATTTGAAAGGCTCATGCAAGCATGTGATCCAAGCTAGAACCTCCCGACCAAGCTTTGCTCGATCGGGGGGTTGCTCTTCGATACGCTGCATTGTCAGGCGATACGCATAGTCATATGCTTCGGTCACAGTTGTGGTCTTTTGGCCCCTCGCTTCGGTCTTAATCTCGTTCAGTGCTTTCCGAACAGCGTTTGCTGATCGCTTGTCGTAAAGACTTTGTACATAGAGCTTCGCTAGAAGGAACCTATAATGTGTCAGTGGCTGGCATCTCCATTGCGCAGTGCGAGTTTGGGGATGCTCTGAACGTTGCTTTGTACTACTTACATGCCATCCACTGAGTCGACGATTTTCAGCTTGATTAGTTCCTGGAGTTCGACATTGCGCTGAACAAACTGTGGCATGTTGTTGAGGTTGCCGACCACATATTTGCGAACATCATCGCTACTAGCACGTACTTCGAGAGGCTTCTCTGCGCCGAATTCTGCAAGCACTTCTGGGACGGTCCTTGATGTCGCTAGCAGACTTGTTCTGGAGTTTGCTGGTAGATTCAACAATTCAGATAAGAATATCCTCCTGCAGCCATCAGATACTTGACATTCGTCTAGTGCATCGATCACAACGTAAAGTCTCTGGAACAGTGCAGCCACGTCCTTGAGGCATTGAGCGAGGGCCCTCCACGAAGGACGTCTGATGCCCTTCCCATGGTCGGAATAGAGCTGTTCGATAGGTATCGGCAAAGTTTCCTGGCTTTCTGCCAGTACCTTCAACAGACTGCAAAGCATAAACTCCAGGGTTTGCTCATCGCGAGTCTTGTAATCGCAATAAAAGTAGGCGACTGCTACGCCAGCGTTGGTCTGGAATCGGGTTTGTAGATCGTCGATAATGATAGAGGCGAGCATCGTCTTGCCAGCCCCAGGCAGGCCAGTACAGAGTAGCTTTCTCGCACTGGAGTTGTCGAGCCAAGTGTCGTAGGCTTTCGACTCTAGAAACCAGTTGCCGGTACCCTCTTGTCGTTTGCTCAATATATCATGATGCTTTGATGCATGATCATGAGTAGATAGCCATCGGAGCACCGCGTCGCGTTGCTTGGAAGATTCCCGGTGATAGTCGGTACTTTGAAGACGTTCGACGTCGTGGTGCAGGCCGACCTGGAGCGTCTGAATTTGCGACATATGATCATTCAGCTTACAGAACTCCTCCCCGATCTTGCTCGCACTCATGTTCATTGAGTGCAGGAGAAGCGCAAGGTCTCGATTGTTTTGCTCCGCGCATTCCTTGATCTCCCGAAGCAGCTTCCGAGAATCTCGCGATAGGGCCAGGTTTATCAGAATTTTCTCGCGTTCTATCGATTGGATAAGCTTCTGTACATCCTTCTCTTGAAATGGCCACTTCAATGAGCCCCTCAGAGAATTGTCGTGTTTCAGTCGGGTCTCCACTTGCAGTAGGATAGTCTGAAGTCGAGGTAGTGGCCCATCAGGTCGTTCGAGCACATTGATCGTGTCGACCAAGCTTTCGCCCTCGTCGATATCTTCGGCATCATCCTTCAGCTCTTGCAGTATACGTTTGCAGGCGCGAACTTCTCCGCGCAGTCGCTTGCGGTCTTCCGAGGCGTCTTTTACTTTCCCGACGTAGTCGACAATCTTGCCCGATAGTTGAAGTACGGCGATGACACTTGCCAATTCGCCCAGACCTGACATGACGAGTGAAGCATGCGGGCTTCGAAAAGCCTTTCTCGGGGTTGATGTAGCTTTTGGGCAAGTTGAGGGGTCGAGCTGCACAAGAGCAGGCCTCTTGAAAGTGAGCACGTAATGGCTCGCATCATCTAGTGCGGGGCGAAGCTGCTGTCCTGCGTCCATCTCATGTACGATCATCATGCAGTCCGACGGCACAGTTCGCGTGCGTAACTACCAGAACGAACCTGATAGGCTGAAAGCAGGGCGCAGTCGGCGAGACTTCGACATGGCGGTTGCTGCCCTGTATAGGGCGATAAACAGGGTGACAGTCCATTTGGATCTGGGACCTTCGTTGCGATGAGAGGTAGATTGATAGTTGCTGTGACAGGAAGCAAGGAGTTGGAAGTCGCGGACGATGCACGTGCACTCGCGTTCGGCGCCAAGCTAGCGCGACTTCCTCAACCCTCAATCCGCCAGCGGTTACAAACATCCCAAACAACATCGCGACGATGTTACCCGACGAGATCATCGCGCAGCTCACTGCGGAGTTCCAATGCCGCGATCAGCAAGTTCATCATCTTGCAGCTCTCTATAGCGTCCGTACACCCATCAGACTTCAGGATCATTGTCTAACAGCACTATAGGCGCATCTCCCATCTCCACCCTTTCTGAACATCCATGGCCTCACAGCGACTGGCAAATCCTCGATATTGCGCTCCTTCTTCCATCTATCCCGTATACAGCACACAATCATCAACGTTCGCGAATGCATAACCGCGCGGCATCTCCTTGAGCGCATTGTCGCAGCAAGTCTAGATGCACTGGACGAGTTTAACGACGAGAAGATTGATAGGAGACCGTACGCGCGTACAGAGAATCTGAGCGCGCTATGTGTTAACATGGAAAAACTGTTGGCGGGCAGGGGGAAGTTTGTGTTGGTGCTCGATGCGGTGGATAAATTGAGGGAAGGGGGTGGAACGTTGATTGCGGCGCTGGGAAGACTAGGAGAGATGGTATGTTATGCATTGCACGGATCGCGGGCAAGGGATACTAACAGTACGAGCAGATACCAAACCTCTCCCTAATCCTCACAACAACCCTCCCCCTCACACCCTCCGTCCTCCACTCGTCATCAGCCTCCTTCCTCCACTTCCCATCCTACGCGCGCAGTGAACTCCTCACAATCCTCGGCGCCAACCCACCAAAGATCTTCCTCGAACCGCCCTCCCTGGAACAATTCCCAGACTACACACCCGATCTCGCAGCCGAAGACGACCAATGGCTCTGGGGCCGCTTCATCCAAGCCGTCTACGATTCCCTCGCGAAACACACCGGACGAGATCTGATAAGCTTCAAAAGCTGCGCCATGCGCCTCTGGCGTTCATTTGTCGAGCCCGTGGTATCTGGACAATTCGGTACGCGCGACTTCTCGCGGTTGATGGTGAACAGACGGCATTTGTTCCAGCTTGAAGACTCCGTGCTCGACCGAATCATCTCAGACACTGCTGAACCTGTCAAAGAAGCAGCACCAGCAGGCGCTACACCAGCAACGCCCAGCAAGAAGAAGCCAGCGAACATGACGGCGCACACGCTTCCGTACTTCACAACCCACATCCTCCTCGCCGCCTACCTAGCGTCGTACAACCCTTCGCGAACCGACGTTACATACTTCATGAAGCACACCGACAAGCGGAAGAACAAGCGACGCGCACCCAGCGCTGCGTCTTTCAGCGTAACCGGCAAGCGCACAGGAGCTAAGCATCGGAAGATTAGTCGGCATCTGCTGACGCCCAGCCCGTTTACTCTGGATAGGTTGTTGGCGATCTTCAGAGCCTTGCTTGAGGGCACAGTGCCCCAGGTAGCGGATTTATACACACAGATAGCTACACTGACGAGCATGCGATTACTCGTCAGAGCCGGAGGAGCAGGAAGCAACGACGCACTAGAAGGAGGCGGACGATGGCGCGTGAATTTCGGTTGGGAATACGCACGCGCGCTGGGCAGAAGCGTGAATCTGGAAGTAGGCGAGTATCTTGTTGGTGGTGTAGACTAGGCCTTCATTTCATTTTGTCTACTCCAACACCTGCCCAGGTGTATGTAGAGCATCATCTAAGAACTACAGCTACACTGCAGCATACCCTTATACTTTGGCACATCACCACAGAACCTCTCTTCCTCCTCTGCATTCCACTCCCAACTCTCTTGGAAAGGGTTAAGCGCAAGTTTCATAATTTGAGGCAGGATCTCGCGTTCGTGTTTCTTTTCGACGCGCTCGATGAGTTCGTCTAGGATCCAGGAGCGGGGGATGAACTGCGTTGACGTTAGCACTGTATCTCTAGCACAGAGTGGAATGGGACTTGCGTTAGGATTAACCTTATCCATAGCAACCTTCCTCTCCTCATCCATCCCCTCCCCCCAATCCTCCCTCACCCTCTGCGACCATTTCTCCAACCACCTCCCTATCCGCTCTCTCCCATCGCTCTCCTGCCTCGGCGCGTCGTTCCTACGGAAGAACCTGCCCGCAACATCTTTCCTCTGATCCTCCGTCTCCACTTCACTCAGTTTCACATTCCCCAGTCTTCTAAACGCATGATGGAAATCCAATTCATACATCTGCAGTGTATCCAACAACTCCGACATCAGATCTTCGAAATCGCTCTCCTTCTGCGTTTTGAGGCCCAGACGAAGCGTCATGAGACGCCGGTACTCAGCGAGGAAAACGGCCTTGTACTCTTCGCCTGCGCGGTCGATGGCGGATTCGCCGCATTTGACTATGCCGTCTGCTTCTTCTTCTGTTACGCCTTTTTCGATAAATTGCGCTTCGTCGACTTTGCTGCCCGCGCCCATGAGCTCGCCGAGGGCTTCGCCCAGGCGGACTAGGTTCCACCAGATTATTGTGGGTTGGTTGCGGTAGCTGTAGCGCAGCATGTGGTCGTCGTGGTTGGGCGTGTAGGTGGGGTCGAAAGTATCGAGGAAGGCGAAGGGACCGAAGTCGATGGATAGACCGAGGATGGAGGTGTTATCTGTGTTTAGCACGCCGTTCATGAAGCCGTAGGCTTGCCATTTTGCGACGGTTTCGGCGTTGCGGCGGAGGATGGCGCGGTAGAGGCGGACGTAGCGGTTCTCTTCGCCTTCGTTCTCGCCTTCGACGGTTTCTTTGGGGATGCCCGTGTGGGTTTGGGAGTGGATTTCTTTGGCTTCGCCGGCGGGGAGCTTGGAGGGGAGCTTGTCCCAGCCGCCGTAGACGTGCTCGGCTGTGTAGTCTGCGATTGTGCGGAGGGTCTTGCGGTCTCCGCGGATGCGTTGCAGGTCGAATGTGCCGAAGCGGATCCAACTCTGCGCGAAGCGTGTGACGATGGCTCCAGGCTCTGTCCGTTCGCGCATAACCTTGCTTCCATTGTTCAGGGTGAGCGCCAGCGCTCGCGTGCTTGGAATGCCAATGGCATTGAGATATTCGGAGACGACGAACTCCCGAATGGAAGATCGCAGTACTGCGCGGCCATCAGCGAAACGGGAGTACGGCGTCCGTCCAGCGCCCTTCAACTGGATCTCGTATCGTGTGCCGGTCGCTGGGTTGGTAGACTCGAACAAGGAGATGGCACGCCCATCACCGAGTTGACCTGCCCATTGTCCGAACTGGTAGCCTCCATAGCATTGTGCCCACGGGTATATTCCAGCCTCTGGGTTCGACTCGTCCCATGTCAGGATCTTCTTTCCAGCCACGACTTCCTTGAATTCATCCGTCTTGGCCTCCTCTTCCTTAAGACCAATGTCCTGCATCGCTCGCTGACTGACAGCTAACAGCTCTGGCTCTCCCTGCGAGTCAGGCCGAACATATGTGTATAGTGCTCCCTTGACCATGCGCGGTCCGAGCATTTGCCGTGGCGCATCGTGGGAGTCTTTCGGTCTAGGGAAGGCGTCATCGGCGGGAAGGTTGGATGTGAAGACATTCGATTTGGGAAGCGACTGCAGCGTGTGAAGTTCATTGGTCGAGTTGCTCGCCGTCTGTGGGATGTCGAGGTGCGCCATGACTTGATTGAGGCGCATAAAAGTGTGGAAGGGGTTCTTGCAGATGTATTTCGTCGACGATATCGCTTTCCTTGTGGGCTGCAGCGCAGTGGAGATTCGAAGCATGAGCTGCTAAGGGTATCAAGTGGTGTAGGAAGGAGGGGCAATGAGGGGAAGATGGCGGCACATCTGGGCGCATTCGATGCTGATCAAAGTGATGCGAACGTTATGGGGCAGTGGCGTCATGCCTCGGACGAGCGGGCTTATCGATAAGGTAGTCGTGAAAACATCAGAACGTCGCGGTGCCTGACTCGCGCGTCTCTCTTCTGAACTAAATCGCGGACGCGTCGACATCTCCGCCAATCAGCACATCCTTCCTCAAGCAACGCATACCTTCACTCCTTGATTTTTGAGACCCACGCTGGCCTCCACACTATCACACTCCCAGGATGAACGGCCAGCCAATACCCGGCTACTTCTGGGACGCAGAGAAGAAGAAATATTTCAGGATCCAGAACCAAACCGCAGCACAGGGATCAAATCTCAAATACTCTTCAGCAAACATCAAGAAGACAGAAAGAAAAGAGCGTATCCAGAATGTCGCACTCGCGCGTTCCAATAAGCTTAAGAAGGAGCGGGTCGTCAGACGCAACCCGAACAGCTTTGCTCAGACAAACATCGACAGAGAAATAGGCCTCAAAAGACGGTCACGCTATGTCCACGGTCTTTGGCCTGACGCATGCGCAGCCGGTATTCAGGAACGTCCCGAAAAGGTGCTACCGCCCTGTGGACTCCGACTCTTTGCCAAAGACCCAGTACATCACACGATATACACAGTCCAAGGTGAGAACGGTGTGCACAGGCAGACTGCAGATCGAGGGAGTCCCAGCGTCCCATCAGAGGATTACTATTCCATACCCAAGTCGTCTTCACTAAAGAGTATCTATTCGTGGTATCCACGAGAAGAGGTAACGCGAACGACATCTACAGTCTCCTCGCTGTCCTTTCTACCGGCAACCGGCGCGCTTGCGGTAACGACATATGGGTCTGATCGACCGCCAGAAGTATGGCTCAGCGACCCGGGACACGATGATCCTGTAAGTCTTCCACAAACTTGTAATTCCATGCACGTAATTTGCTCGATGATGAACGGCCATGTTCCATTTCGCGTTCGATAGACCGAATGATTTGATTTACTCAGCGGCATGCAGCACAACTCAGAACGAACGAGCTTTTCTACTCACTCCCACACCGTTTCAATAACTTTACAAGACTTTTGCATCTTCCGAAACTCTCACGCTGACCCTTAGTGACACAGTACGTAGGGCAAAAGTTCACACCGAAAGACTGTTCAGCTATCTGGGGAGCTGCTGCCAGACCAACTACGTTCACAGCATCGCCGGGTCTTGCAAACAGTGTTGCAGCGACCTGGACCGAGCACCTCGCAGTTGCAGCCTCGAGTTCGATGCTACTGTTTACTCGCTCACAGGGAGGTGCCTGGGATTCTCAAGCTGTAGTAAAGTCACTTGAATCAGATCTTCTGGCCTTGGAGTGGATATCGTATACTACTGTCGCGCTCGGCTGTCGAGATGGAACCATCCGGCTATACGACACAAGATCAGGCGGCTCAAGTCACGTCTTGACACACCCCGCGCCCATCTCAAAGCTCAAGTGTGCCGATGACGAGACTAGGTTGATATGCTCGGGGCTTAACGACACGCTTTTCCTATACGACATCCGCGCACCCCGCTTATCTCGAAACTCGTCGCGAAAGACGTTCAATCACAACAATCATCACTACAACGAAGAGTACTTCAAGACCTTGTATCCGACTCATCGCGATAGTCACAAACGCCGCAAGCTCAACCACAAAGCTTTCAAGAATTGGTCGCAGCCAGTCATGACTTTCGCCCACCTAAACAGAGACGAGCTGGAACTGGACATCGATGTACATCCAAGACTCGGACTTCTAGCAGCAGCCCAGGACACAACGGAAGGTACGGTGATCCGGATTAGCAACATGTGGACAGGTAAATCTGTTAAGGAGATTGATCCAGGCAGCACGCACCAGGCCAAAATCCGCGCACTCAAATTCATTGAAAGCGGTTTTGACGGCAATGTTGACCTTTGGTCGTGTTGGGGTGGTGGGATCGCGAAATTTGGGTGGTCACACAGTAGGGGCCTTTAGCTTTCGAGACTCACCACTGAGATATCGACATGCTGACCTACCAAGACTTTGAATAGTGTTGATGGATACATTTGCGGGTTTGCCATGGTGCGAGCGACCACTAAATTCGCGCGACTGAAGCATGTCCATAGGGCCACGCCGCTGAACACAATCACACTTGCACCGACATGTGACAGTGCGACACTGGAATCGTTCAGAAACATTTCCTGCAATTCTCCGCTGCGTCACAGTGAGCCTCGTCCAATCGCGACCGGTAGTCACTGACGCACGTGCGTTCTCTGTCGTTTGCTCCTGCCTCGCACCTGCCCCGATTGGATCGCGCAATTCCCTGGTCATCATGTTGACCTCACAACAAGACGCGAAAGCTCTTCTCACTCAAATACCTCTAGCGACAGATTGAAGAATTCAGGAGAGATTTTCACAGCGTTGCGGGTGACATTAGGTGAACGCCTTCACTTTCACAGCTTCACCGTCGCTCTCCGAACTACAGATAATCCCCGAGCGAGCGCACAACCCAACTTTTCCGCACCAACCATCGGTCTTTCCTCACCAAGGGTCCCAGGATTACACTTGGCACAAAACTATTCGCAAAGCCCCGAAGCCGCAAAGAAATCATGTCAAATATCGATCTCGAAAAGTGCACCGCCACTTCCTCATCCATCAGAGCTCTCACTAAGACCGACCCCCGCACCACCAACATCAAGATGTCGTTCCCAATCCTCATCGCTTATATCGGTCTCTACGTCGGAACCTACTACCTCAGTCCCACTGGCCCTGGATCCGAGCACCGCGACGGCGACTCCGGACGTATACCACCTCTAGCCATCGTGCTCACGCTACTCGGCCCTGAACTCATTCAAAAAGCATTTGCTGTCACGACTGCGATTTCAAAGACAGAGTCTCCATGTTTCGGTTTCGGGTGGCTGGCTTATAGCTTGTCACTCTTGGTGTCAGTCACGTCTGGCAGTGGTGGTTTGATGCGGGAACCGGAGTGCGATGTCAAGGTTCTGAATATGAGCACGGGGAAGAGACGGTCGAACAAGGAGTTTGCTGTTGCGAGGCTACTCCGCGATCTGGAGTACCGCTCTACTTCCACATCCGTTGAGAGCTACATGGATCCAAGCAGCGATATCGTTGTCGAAATCCTCCAACCCACTGGCATATCCTCCGCCTCGACATCCTTCAGAAACCTTTTCCACAGCGGCAGCTTGATGACCGCAACCCTCCAATTTTGTCTCGCCGGCGCATTTTGGTGCTACTACGGCGATCTCTCACCTCTTCTCCTCCTCAGCATATCGATCCTGCTCATAGAAGCTACCGCCAGCCTACCCGTCTGGACTCAGAAAAACGCTTCCTTTACACACAGTGGTCGCAAAGGCGCATACGCACTCATGCGCGACACCGACTCCCCACCCAGCCACATCTACATCATCCAGCCCTCTCCAACTGCATCCACCAAGACCGAAAGCATGACCGCACATCACGACATATTCACCAACGCCTCAAACCCCTGTGTGGCACCCATCATCCTCATCGCCGGTGCTTTCTTGAACCAAGCACTCCTTTACACCCAGCTCTCAGATAACGCAGCGATTGCTATGCTGATTATCATGTTCGTTGGTACGATTAGTAACCTTGCTATCGTTGCTATGCCGCGCGTGCCACATGTCGATGGCGTGGAACTGGGATCTGTTGGTGTGATGAAGGGGGAGGGGAGTGTTGCGGAGGTTTTGAAGGAGGTCGAGGCGGCGTTCGAGGGGTATGGAGAGGTGCTTTTGAAGCAGTGTTTCCCTGAGATGACCGGGAACTGGGAACGTGGAATCGAGAAGGTGAAGATGGGGGAGATGGATTAAAGACGGTAGAGCAACTCTTGGCTCGCAGAGTGTTGTTGTGTTGCCCGGTATCCGGACTGTTAGTAGTGAGCCCATCCATAACACGCAACGCATCCACAGACAGCACAACACCTGACATCATAACATCATAAATTCACGTCCCCGTCCCCGTCCCCGTCCCCGTCCCCCCTTTCCTCCCTCCCCCCAAAAGCGGTATCCTAACCCTTCCAAACACCATCCCCCCACCCCTCTGCATCTGCGCCACCGCATCCCCAAGTAGCACCCGTATCGCCCCTTCCAGCCTCTTATCCTTCTTCCGCCGCATCCACACCAGCACTATACCCAATATAAACACATCAACAGCAACATGCTTGAAGCACGCCCACACCCATCTCCACACGCCCCGAAAGAGCTGATAGTGTACTGAATGCGCAAACAGTCTCCTTGCTTCTAATTGTTCGCGCAGGGCGGCGACTTCCGCCGTCATCTTCATGAGCGATTGCTCAACGCGCTTCCGCCATTTCTGGTCTGCGACTGATTCTTTCGGCGAGCTGTCTTTCGCTGCTGCTGCGGCACCGTTTCCAGCAGCGGGAGCGGGTGTACTGCTGAAACCGGGTATGGGCATCTGAATCGGTTTGCCCAGGACGCCCATGCCGCGATTCCGTGGCGCGGGAGTGGGCGTCTGGATAGGTATGGGTTCTGCGCGGATCAACTGCTGTAGATCGGTTTGTACGCCTGCGTCTTCGAGGTCGGGGGCGTTGCCGTCGTCGTCGTCGGGGTAGGATGTGGGGTTATATTGCGAGTCTGGGGCGTCGACGAAAACCTCGCCTTCGCGCTCGATTTCGGCTTCTTCTTCCTCGAGCTCTTCTTCGGATTGCGACATTGGTGATTTTACGCGGAGGGGCACGGCGCGGCGTTCGGTGGATTGGGGGTCCATGTCGTTGCTGCTGTTCATGGCTGCGCGGCCGCTTTGGCCTAGTTCGTGCTGCGAGTAGCCGGGGGTCATGTGGTCGGAGGTACGTAGCGGCGAGGAGGAGGAGGAGGACGGCACGTTGGATTTCACTTGGTCCCAGACGAATTCTAGTTCGGCGACTAGTTCGCGGGAGTCGGGGGAGGGTGAGGCGTACTTGTGCATGGTGTCGATGAGGGTGGTGATGTAGCGGCGTTTGGCTTCGGTGCGGGAGAGGCCGTTCTGCTGTTTCCAAGCGTCCCTGGGGATGTTAGGTTCTGTCATGTATGCGTTCCATGATAGGGACTTGAATGGTGCTATGCGCCAAGTGACATACCATTTCTCCCGTGCTCGTTGCGACTGGTCATCGTTGCCTCTTGGACATTCCATTATACCGTCGACATCACCCTCTGTTTTGGTCAGCTCTGGTCGTAGCACAGTCCCCTTCCGCATCATTTCCCTCGAGGCAACGTACCCATGGCCTGCTTATACAGTCCATACAAGCGTAACCTGGTCGCAGACGGCGGTTTCTGCGACCCCGTCCGTATCTTGTTGACGGTATTGAGCGCATGGCTAAAGACTCGATCTACATTCCCTATCATCAGCAAAAGTTCCTTCCATCCCATCTCACCCCAGATAAACCTACCAACCGAGTCCGACATTACGAGCGTGGATATCGCGCCCCCATAGACGGGGAGCGGCGCATTGATTGGTGTGGCGGTGCGCAAGAGTGCCTCAAGAGCAGGCACAAGGTATTCAGCCAGGCAGGAGCAAAAGACAAGGTAAAGTAGAACGGCGCAATGGATGGCGGACGGCGTGCATGATGCGATGACAATGCGGAGCCGTGTGGAGATGGCATTCGTTGTCGCGCGACCCTGGCGCTTTGGCCTCGGCTCTTCCGGAGCGGGCGCGCTTGCCATGTGGCAGTGTGGTCGGCCGCCGTTTCACGTGTCAACACACTTTGATTGGATTCACCGCACTTTGTTGTCTTGCTGGTGTACTGTAACATTCTATCGTCTTTTTTTCACGAATCAGATTGAACGTGACAACAGCCTTTACGACTGTTCGTGGCTGCAGCAGGGATCTGGTCGACAGATCGGGCAATGTTTTCCGCACGCGATTGCTGGACGAGACGAGATACATTTGCGACGCAAGACTCGCTGACTCCCTGTGGCTGCTATTCACATCTGTCTCACGCTTGACATTACATCTCACAACAGCGTCTACCAGTTTGCTACCACTGGTTGCACATCGCTCGTGAACGACCACACGCCCTGGGAGTTGACAGCATGAACAATCGCCTTCCTCGCTACATCCTGTCTACGCGTGGTAGTCGCAATCTGAGTCGACGTTCCCTGGCATGACTATTAGTATCGCCCTTCGAAGACGATTGACATCTGGACGAAACTCACCTGTACGCGGGCACCCCGCACGTTCGTGTAGGGATTGCCAACTTCATCCGTACCAGTCGGGTACTCCACAATGACGGAATACGCAGTCGCGCTGGACACCGGTGACCAGCTGACCTGGAAATCTCCGGCATCATTGCTCCTGCGCAGAGATACGCCTGCAACCTTGGCCGGGCGCGAAACACCACCAACAGCGCGTATCTGCCCCGTTGTGTAGCACCCATTCGACGTGCCAGAGGTGGTGTAAAACCGCCATGAGACAGGCGCCTGGCCGTTTTTGCAAACACTGCTGAACTCGTGCACAGCCGTGAACGCCGAGTTTCCAGGGTACTTAGTGAGGAAGTTGTTGCCAAGGTACGGGTAGAAGGTATCGCTGACGCCGAAGCTGTCGAAGTCGCGGAAGGGCTTCAGTTCAGCACGACTGCCATCCGCGTACGTGGCTTCGAATGCCCATTGCACTCCTACGTATCGGTCTTTGTTGAAGGTGAGTTGCGCAGTGCAGCTACCGAGGTTAAAAGCCTTGTAGTTGCCGGGAGCTACGCGGCCTGTATAAGGGTAGCTCCAGGATGTACTGCATTGTTGACGCGGTTCGAGAGCAAGAGGCGATGCTGTCGTAGCGGTCGCTAGAAGCGTGGAGAGAGTCGCAAGAGTGAGCTTCATGATAATTCCAACCAAACAAAGTGAACAACTATGGACACGTCAACCCGGAAAACAAGCACCCTAAATACCACTCCTCCACCCTCCCAATTGACATCACCAGCGGGTCCAATGCACCAAAACTCTACTTATACAACTAGACAAGTAGACAAGTCTTGGACACTACATCACCCGCCCACGAGGAGCGCAGCCCGCCAATTCATATTAGCAGCCAAGACGGGCGTGTACAGCTTTCAAGAGGTTCCAAGGCGGACGGAGACAACACCCATGGGGGTATGCGGTTTAGCTGGTGATCATCTGCGGGCCGCGAGAAGCCTAGCTTTCTTGGCGCTGCAGGTCAATCTTCGTATTCGGTCTTGAGGCTTGGGCTTGGCTGGGGTGATCTGCGTTGGGTACATGTCGACGACTGAGACCGTTTTTGCTTCGACGATTCCTGAATAAGAGCTCGGTGCGAATACGTTTGACATTGGGTAGTGTAACGGGTATAAGCCGGGCGGTGTATATGGTAGGATTTCGTTATCGGGCTTGGCACAGACTATCACTCGATGGTTTCATTTCACTGACAAGACTTGGTTTTATTCTTCGATACAGATCCACCAGCTGTAGCAGCTATCCTTTTATCAAGACCAAGATTTAAACCATACCCATATCACAAAGGTCACTCCATCGCCATACATCGCCCATCACGGACGACCATCTACGACTGAACCTTTGCCTCACAACCGCCATCCCGATTTCACCTCAAGAGCAACCTCTTCCCAGCGGACTCGCAGACTCGCCAGCCATCCTTAAGGACACTTCCACCCACACTTATCCCGGCAGAAGTAGAAGCTCGCCTTGCAAGTCTCAGCACGGCAAGTAGTATCGCAGGTAGCTGGGTTGAACCAGCAGGGCCAAGACTATTATCATCATCTCTCGTATTAGTTTCAACAACTTCCCGCCGGGATTTGGGGAAAAGGGTAATCGATACTTACACGAAGGCAGTGCTCGAATTGATCTTTGCACTGGTCGCAGGTGGGGACTTGGACGGGCGGTAAGGTCTCTTGGGGGGCGGCGACGGGGGCGGCGATGGGGCTGGCGTCGGGGGCGGTGATGGGGGTGGCTGTGGTGAGGGCCGCGAGGGCGAGGATGAGGGGGGTGGTGTACTTCATTTTTGGCAAGGTGGGTGTGGGGTGCGTGTGTTGTTGAGGTGATTGAGTTGAGGGTGGATGAGGAGAGGGACTTTCTTGGAGCAACGGATTGGGGGGTTTATATATACGCAGGGCTGGAGGGTCAGGTTAGGCAGCCGAAGGGGTTTAATGACCTTCATGGATCACCTGGGGTACTGATCTGCGTGGCGAGATACGAATGTTGGTAGTGAAAGAATGGGAGGCTTGATACGATTAGCGGGGTGAGGGTGTGAGATTGTTGCACGGGTGGTGAGCCCTTTCACTCGATTTTATGTCAGGGGCGTTGATAAGTGTAGTAAGGATGAGCATGTATTCTGTATTCATCTAGTCGGTGTTGCAAGTACCGGTGTATGTAAGGATGACTACATATCCCAACAACAACATATAAGCATCGCTCTCCACAACAACCCGCTACCTCAGACATTATCCTTGCCAACCAGCCTTGGTTTCATGCCTCTCTCAATCCCACCGTCTCTCCAATGGCCTCGAACACTCTCAAAGACCAGCCTCGAAGACCAGTCTAAGGGCACTTCCACCCACAGTGCTCCCTGCACGCAGCGTCGTTACGACAAACGTCGTTGTGGCAAGTGATAATACACATCCTCGGGTTGATCCAACAGACCCAAGTCTTTTTCCACCCAACACGTTAGTTCAAATCACACTGGAAGAAATGGGGAAAGGGGGAATGTACCTTCTGGCAGTCCTCGAACTCCTTGTTGCACTTGTCGCAGATGGGGTCACGGGCGACGAGCGGGGTGGCCGAGGTGATGGCGTTGGCGGAGGGGGAGGTGACGGGGTTGGCGGTGGTGAGGGCCGCGATGAAGAGGATGAGGGGGGTGGTGTACTTCATTGTTGGTGGGGTGGGTGTGGTTTGGCTTGGTGTGTGGTGTTGTGTGTGGTTGAGGAGATTGTGTTGATGGTGGATAGAGGGAGAGAGGTGTTCTTGAGGCAGCGCATCGTGGGTTTATATGCACCTTGGGTGGTGTTCTAGGTAGCGATATTGCAATATGATAATGAAAGAATGTAGGGACATGGTAATGAAAGAATGTAGGTGTTGATGCAGACTATAGTGTGGAAAGGTGTTGTGGAATTGGCGCATGGGCGAGCCATTTCACGCGATCGAAGCACGTTTATGTCAGGGGCGTTATTGCATGTATTAAGGATGAGCACATATCCCAACAACCACATGTAAGGACAGCCTCAAGAATGTACGAGTAGATGTAAGGATTACTACATGTAAGGGAAAAGAAATTACACGTAAGGACGGCTACATGCAAGAATGACGTAACATGTAGATGAACACGACAACTCAGGAGCTCACTGTGCAGATTCCTACTCAACAATTAAAGATGTCTCTAAGAGCAATACGAGCTTCGGTGGCGATCTTGGTACAACCAGAGAAGGCATCCCAAGAATGAGCGAGCTGGAGTCGCACTGGCGGATCTTTTTGCATCTTCAGTCATTCACTCGGGTCATTGGAGCCCACCCGAGCTCGTGGGCTCTCTATAATTCGAATTCAGCCGCCCCTCAGTTTGTTACCACCGAGGCCTTCAATCGTGATCTCGTCTGGACTTCGAGTCGCATTTAGGTCTCGTCAGCTGACCACGGCAATAATGGCTTCACCTTCGACTGTCGGGGACGGAGCTGTGGGTGCTTAATTTTGTGCATAAAGGTTCAGCAGCGCCGGCTGCAGATAGATGAGAGACTGAGATCAAGGGAAGAACGCTAGAGATGAATTGCGCTTATCTGAACGCTGTTAAGGCCCTCACAGAGAAACACCAGAAGGGTGGCGTTAGGCGAGGAGAGGATATTCTAGACGCGTCACTTTTGCTCAGGTAAATTTACATTCACGTTCAGGATTTCAGTATGCATAGTGTGTAGTTGAAATTCATCTTTAGGTTAGGTTACCGATGATGTATCAGCCACCAAGTCCTTTCCATGTTCAGTTTCCCATATTCGCAATGATGACAGGCATTCAGCCAAGACAAATTCTCATCCAAGCCTCCATGCTACCCGTTGCCTTGCATGCCTCACTGATGTTCATCCCCTTCCGTGATACCCGAGATAGATATCCTCAACGGCGTTGGTATCTAGGTAGTTGGGCAGGCAGTACCAGGGGTGCACTCATCGCCGCAAGCCACCGTCTCGCCTGCAGGTACGTACTTGCAGGTGTCGTCGTGGTCACACTTATTCATGCACTTGGTCCATTCAAAGGTTAGGTGCTTGCGGTCGCCGTCGACTTTGCCCTTGCAGACGTCCTATTGAGGTTAGTTTCTGAGCTGAACACTAAAGAATATGGGCTCGGGGCTGTGACAACTTACTTTCTCGCAGTGTTCAAGGCTGTAGATGTAGCACTTCTTGCACAGAACAGATTCTTCCTTCTTGCCGCCGCCGGCGAGGACGAGGGCGGAGGCAGCTGCCAGAATGAGGATGGAGAGCTTCATTCTTGGGAGTGGGTTGATGTTGATGGAGTTGTTGTGGTTGATGGAGTTGTTGTGGTTGATGGAGTTGTTGTGGTTGATGGAGTTCGTTTTGTGGTGGTGAGGTGGACGTTGAGTGTTTTGAGTGTTGGTTGTTGGTGGAGGAGAGAAGAGGAGAGAGGGAGGATGGGCAGGATTATATACCCGTGGGAGAGAGGGGAGAAGCGGAGCTCTAGGTACCTGGATGGGTAGCTGCGTAACTCGCGGTGAGGGAGCGGCGGCCCGCGGTGAGGGAGAGATACCTAGATAAGGCGCGGTGAGGGAGCGGCAGCCACTTCGCAGCTGCTGGAGTTGCTGCAAAGCCGAGAGTCAAAGGTCTGTGCCTAGCCAATCCCTCTCACCTGAGATAGGCCATGGGTATTGGCAAATGCGACTTCAGTAACGGAATCTCTGAGTTCCCGGATAGTGGCGGTTTCGTCAATGCCCAGGTGGACAGCAAGAGCTTCTTGATGAGAGAAAAGTAGTATCATTACCTTACAGGCCGACGGAGAGAGTAAGACTAAACATCTCCTTCGTGAGAAATGGCATTTGCTAGGTGGAATGTAACCAAAGTCTCATATCTTTTGCTTGACCAGCCATCAGAGCGCATCGTCGTCGCAACCAGTCTAGCACTTCCATATCTCATGAGACTGCCAGCGCAAAGCATTTCGAAAGTGCATCGCCCCATTCCGGTTACCGCTCCACCCCGTCGACCTGGTCTCAATTTCCCGTAACGGTTGGATGATCATTCCCCGGGCGGAACGAGGAAGGTGGGTTTTGGGTGCTTAGGTTTCTCAATCCATCCATGACAGTTCAAGTAATCATACTGGGCACACCAGTTTGCACACCAATCGCCAATTGTGCCTGATTTGCACACATAAGTTTGGCACTGGAACGAGCACTCCTCGTTGAATATGAACGAAGGGCAACGATCCTGTGAGTTATGTCAGTGACTGGGTAAGTTTGTGTTGGAACTGGAGGACTTACGGCCATGCATCCTTGATACATTTCACGGCAGGTGTCGCACGAGTGCGAGAATTCGAATTGGCTTTCTGAGGCGAGAGCGGCGGTGCTGAGTGCTGCGATGATGATGGTGGTGATCTTCATGTTGACAAAGATGTGGTAGATGGGCCGGGTGGTAGTGTTGGTGTCGAGTTGAAGGGAGGGAAGACGACAATTCGATTTTTGAGTATGCACGCATTATATATGCTGTGTCTCTAGGCGAGCATGCTGGAGTATCTGCATTGGCACTCACACGTAGTGGTAGCGTCATTGGTGCTCAACAAGAACTCGCCGTGGAGCATACATCATCGGTGTGGAGTCTCGTCTCAACAGTTATGAATGCTGGTCTTTGTCCACCTCGTTTGCTGATTACCGTTGGTGCCAGAGTTTCGCGTTCGAGGACCCCATTCGTATCACAGGGACGCTGCTCTCGTGACAACCAAGTGGATCCGCATTGAGTACCATTGTAGATTGCAGTCTGATGGAGATTTATTATTGATGGATGATGACAAGGATGCTTCTAATCACCGAGATCTAATCGCAGGAGAGATAATCTCTTGAGGCAATCGCGCATCCTACCAAACCCAATCGTTACACATCCGCAGTGCCCCTAAGACATCCAGAACAATTCGCGAATAGATACCCGATAATCTCTCGGTCTCTGACCAGCCACCCCACTCCCCTACGCATGATGATGCCAATGCGGCTCCCCGAACTTATCGAAAGTCACCTTGCACTGACGCCGAACACACGGACCGTAATGATTCTCCATCAACTCTACGCATTTCGCCTGACTCTCGTAGAACTGAGGGATATCGGTTGGCCTGTCCAATTCCCAGTTATAGCTGTTCACGTATCTCTGTTTGGGGTTGGGTTAGCGATCTACAAGCGTGTGGAAAAGTTGATGGGGAGAGGAGAAGGTACGTACGTCCATGCATTCCATGTATCTGACACCGCACCAGAAGCAAACGCTCGGTGGAAGACGTTTTAGGGAGCCTCTTGGCATGGCGCCGATTGAGGTAGGGACGTCGTACAGGGGAGGGGCGGCGAGGGTTGCGGTGGTGAAGAGAGCAATGAGGGCGTAGGTGAACTTCATCTTGGTGGCTTGCGGTGTGGATTTGGGGTGTTTTCTTCAGATGCAGATGGATTTGCGGTGAGAGCTATATATCCTTTTGCCAGTTAGTCCACATTGGCGCGCATTGTCATCCTTTAACTAACATCCAGGTTATCCACCCGTACTGCGATAACGCATGGCGAGCAGCGGGCCATTCCCAATTTTTGCAACACATGACAACCTATATACCAAGGCCTTCCGCAGAGGAGATACCACAAGCATCAAAACCCCGGTCACATGTAGTCGATCGTAGAGGGCGTTGTGGTGAAGAATGGTGGATGAGGCGGGCCTCTCCATCTCAACAGCAATTTTCCACCGCACCCCATGAAGTCTTGGAGCAGGTCAACGGTATGATACCATCGGCACGAATATGAATATTGGCGTGTGATGCGCAAAGCCGTGGTCGGTTGAGAAGTTCCGACGAATGACAGCGATGGCATGGTGGAACTGTGGGGCTGAGCCATGAATTTACAACCAGCCAACACATTACCAGCACAGGCAGCTGAGACGCGAACATAGCCTCCTTACATTATCGCACAGATGCAAAAGATGATAACTATGCGAATAGATATTGATAAGCTAAGTCAGGCAACACGTTGGAATGGTCTCGATGAGAACATGGTCTCACATCTCTCTTCCCTAATGACTCTCGCTATCCACCCCTTTATCGTCTGAAACACGACTTTCTGATCCTCAACATTACCAAAAAACGTTTGGGAAGACTCCACAGCCTCTGAATCAACGTGTGTTGGCTGGCGCGTCTTATCAGGCATGTACCATACACCCTCTCGAATCTGGACCCTGAAACCCCACCGACGGTCCCACCTAAAACTAGACTTCGTGGGGTATACCCGCTCGACCCTATCGCTATTTGCCCTAACCAATAGTCGGTCCAGGAAACGCACGATGTAAAGAGGGAGGTGTGAAAACCTGGCCGACGCTCTTCAGTTTGGTGTTGGAACAGGCGTGGGTCGCTAAAGTGGGTCCATTTGGTCACCGGGTACGACGCAGATATGGCGTTGAGGTCTGCGCTTTCTTTTCTGTGGGCTGAACGCCACTCTCCCAATGGGAGTTTCATGAGGAGCTATCTTTGTCCATAGGCGGGCTACAACTGCCCATGCTGGCGTCTTCATCGTCAACGACAGGCTCTTTGTTCACAGCTACGGTGGGAGTTTCAGGCGCTGGGGCACTCGTCTGCGCAGCATTGCCCGATTGTTGTTGCTGATAGGATTGCTGAGGCTTCTCCTAGTCGTCACCGTAAATGCTGTCAACATCGCTGTCGTAGTCGTCCTTGTCATCGCCTCCCGGAGCTTGCGAGGTCTGATCTCCAACCGCATCTTCATCTTGCGCTGCGGGCCTATTTGGCAGTGTTGTCGCACTGAGCTGTGGTAATGGCTTTTGTGGTACACTCAATCCAGACAAGGGTAGTAACTGGGCCCGGAAGTTTGACGCTGACTTCGGAGTGTATCCCGCCGCAGGCTGTGTTGGGTCATAAGCTGGTGGAGTGGTCGATGGATTACTGGATTTCATGCCTGCCGAAGACTGCACGGGTATGTACGCGGTCGATGTGACCGGGGAGTTTGTAGTCGATGTGCCGGCTGTAGGCTGTGCACGATGGCGGGCGGATGCCGGTTTGAGCAAGCTTCTTGCGTTCGATAGTGCAGCGTCGGGTAGCTTCATGGCTGGGTAGCTTGGACTCCGAGGAGGCGATGTTGCATTACCGCTTTGACCGCGTGGTGTACTAAAATTGCGGAGAGTCGGTATACCTCCATAAGGGGACGTGCTGTTCATCTTTTGCAAAGTAACTGGGTTATACGAGCGTGCGTAACCTCCCGGTGCGAAACCACCTGCTAAAGGTGAAGGCGGTGGCGGCCTATCATACGAAAATGGGGAAGTAGGATTCGAGCTTGGCATCGACGGCGCGTTGAGTGTACCTTTTGTACTCGGGCGAGTCGGAAGACCAGAAATAGCGATTGGAGATGGTTGCGCCGGCGGTGGGGTTGTCGATGTGGTGTTGGCCTCCTTCAGCTTCTGGAAGACCGGAAGGTCCAAGACCTTTTCCACATCGTTCTTCTCAAAACGAGCCTCTTCCTCAGTATCAAATGAGACTGGACCTCTGAAGCGGCCCTTCTTCGGAGTACCAGCTCGTGCACCTGGACTCTCCTTCTGGGGAGTTGCTGGACCATCTGGGATCTTTTCCGATGGTTCTGAATCCGAGTCATCAGAAAGGTCTCGTGTTCTCTTGGACGCTTTGTTCAGTTCATCCAACTGATCCTTTTCCACTTCTTTGGCAAGCTTGTCCAATTCATCGTCATCGATTTCACCCGACAACGCGCTACCATCGTCAGAACCAGCCGGAGAAGGATCACCTCGAGGTTCAGCACCTTCAGCATCTGGATCAAACCATGCCATCAGCTCTTGTGCGTCCTTGTAGTCGTCGTGAGTTTCTCCTCGCATTTCGTACGTGTCCATGGGAACCTCCCGGAAGATCTGGCCTTGTCGCCCGGTCAGTCCGTCTAGCGATTCTAGGCCGGCTGACCGGTTATCCGCATGTTCGGGGTTCTCCACAATCTTGTGGTCCTCCCGAAGTTGTACTAAGCGTGTTCTCGGTCTGATACTTGTGAACTCATCTGGGTGTTTGTATTCGTGTTCAGCGTTGTCCGGAGCTTTGTTGAAGTCACTGTCCCATACTCGCTGAGTTCCTAAACCTGGCGAAACTTGTGCTTTGTCATTCTTTTCGGTCTGGTCAACGTTAAGATCGACATTCGAAAGCCCGGTGATAAGTTCCTCATTGTCTTCAGGAACTTCGTTGTTTTCAAGGTTGAAGTCGTCTCCGTAGGTTGGTGGCGGTGGAGCTAGATCATCTCGTGCCGGCTCCTGATCTTCTCCTAATGCATTCTCAACAGCGGCACCAATGATTTCTTGATGTGACACATTATCACCCTCTTCGGCTTGCGTAGCATCCCCAAATGCGGCACCCCAGTTCACGTTTGAGAATGAGAATGGGTCAAACGCATCTGGCGCATCCTTAGGAGGCCCAGGAACAATGACCGATGGCTGCTGGGTCGGTAAAGAATATTCATCGCCGGCGTTCCCGAGAAGATGATCGAAACTGTCCCTGTCTGTCGGGTACTGCTGAGGCTCAAACATGGGAGGTGGAATATCGATAGGCCCATTCTGCGCCTCATACGCATCAATATCAGCGAATATGTTGTGTGCCGCCATTTCGCCGTATTGCTCGTCCTCAGGAGATAGATACAGACTTGTTGGTATTTCGCTGTGTTGTTCTAGTCCCTCGAGAGGCACCAGCTGTCTTCTCATGTCATCAGTGGTAGTGGTTGGCGTTTGCTCATTATCGAAGCCAGAGTTAGCAATCTTGTCGAAATCGATGCCGTCCATGTTGATGTTATCCAGATTGATATTGTCCATATTGATGTCGTCCAAATCGGTATCGTCCAAATCGACACCAAACAGATCAGACATGTCAACGTCTACATTGTCGTCGGCCGTAATAGTAGTATCCAAGGCCGCGGGCGTAGTAGTCATAGGAATATCGGCGAGACTGGAAGCTCCAGGTAGTGCGGATGAATCGCCATCATCGCCGCCACCACCCTCGTTACCGTTGTCGCCATTATCCATCTGATCGTTGGTGTCAGCTTGGTTGTTCAAAGTCTGACCGTCATGATTATCATGACTGTGGGGATCGCTCTCACCATGATGCCCCTCATCGCTCGAAGAAGACTCGTCGATCCCCTCCATAGGTCCTGAGCCAGCTGAACCCGACGGCGATGGAGGGTTCGCGCCTCCACCGTCGCTCGGTGGGTCGAAAGGAGTGGGTGGACTACCACTCCCACCTCCATGTCCACTACCACCGCCGCCATCTCCACCGAAAGGACCACCAGGGCCAGGCGGCGGATCTCCACCATCACCACTAGCCTTTCGAGACGCAGCTTCACGCTCTCGTCTCATTATGGTCAACATACTAGGACCTCCCAGTAGCCTGTTACGCCACTGTTCTGCGGAGTCTGGATGTTTTGGGTGTGTGGGTCGAGCGGCAGGCCGGTTGTAGATGGCAGGAAGGGCGAATTGCGTCTTAAGTTCCTCTTCTGTGAACATAGGCGGCTCAGTCCTGCTGGAAGGAAGCGAGCTGAGAGGGGCCCAAGAACGACTATTCGCCGTGCTGGGAGCTGGTTGGGAGAGTAAGTCGGGGACAGTCTCATTGACACTTGTTGTGGGTGTAGCTGCTGGAGCGTCATCGTTCACGCCTTCCATCGGTACATCTGTTGACGAAGAAGGTTCTTTGTCGGGTTTAGGAGCATTGTGCTTCGGTGCGCCAGATACCGGGGTATCGCGTGAATTATCGTCACCTTCTCCATCACCGTTGCCATTATCGTTGTCATCGCCGTCGCCAGGCGCGGGTGCTCCACCAGAAGCAACCTCCATAGAAGTCAAGGCCTTCTTCTGCTCAGCCTCTCTTCGCACCTCCTCGCGCTGCCTCTCAAGTGCTGCGGCAATCTCGGCATCTATAGGACTAGCTGGCTGTAGCGGAGCTGATGTGCCAATCGTAGGACTCCCACCGAAATCGAACTCTTCTTCGTCTTCGTCTTCGTCTTCGTCTTCGTCTTCCTCACTTCCTTCCACACCGTCATGCTCATGGTCTTGCCCATCGCCCTCTCCTTCTTCTTGCGCTGAACCAGCGGCTGGAGCTTGGTGATCTGGTGCATTGACGGGCTCCGAAGCAGGGTCCTTGAGAGGCGAGTGCTTGGGGGATGTAGCGAGTTCCGTCATTTCAATAGGAACAAATGTCATGGGCGTGTATTCTCCTTGCGTCTCAGATTCCGGTGCGTCGACTACGATGGTAGGAAGATCAAATGTGATGTCAAGCGTTGGCTCCGGCTCAGTGGTGTCTGTGGCAGACTTCGGTACATCAGTAGGTGTTGTGACGGGAGTGGGTACAATCAGAGAATCGGAGGAAATGGCTGGTATCGCAGGGGTAACAATAGTTGAGGGAGTAGTCGTAGCTTGCGGGGTAGGCGGGGTAGGAGCTGCTGGTGGGAGAGACGCAGTGGTCATGGGAGTGGTCGTTGTTGGAGGAGTAGGCTCGAACAGAGGAGTACGTTTGAACTCGGCAGCTGGCGTGAGGCTACGCAAAGATCCTGATGTACCAGCACCCACCGATATCACTGGCAGCTGAGCCGCAGAGTTTGAATTAGCTTCAATTGCAGTCTCTGACGGGACAGTTGGCATTGCTTCCTCAGGTTTCTCGGCTTCAACAAGAGCCCGGTGCTGTTGCTCAGTCTCTGTAGGTTGAGATATCATCGAAGAATCAGGAGCCGGACTTTCGCTGGCGTCGTTTGACGATTGTGGCTCCTCGTATTCTGCACCGCTCCCCAGGCCAGATTGCTCTAGGAAGTCCTTATGCTCCTGCTCAGCAGCAGCCCTGGCGGCCTCGATATCATTTTCTCTTGCCGTGCGCGCCGCTTCACTGTCGAAGAGCCAAGTCATCCAGCGCTGTGGCCAAGGAAGAGATGCGGTTGTCTGTGTCCATGCATCTGCGGTGGGCGTCTCAGTATGAGCCTGAGCCTGATCCGGAGTCTCAATCGATTGCTCCCGTGTTGGCGTTCCCACGGGAGTCTGTACAGGCGAAGCTTGTTGTTGAGTGCGCAACGCGTCTACTTCATCTGGAAGCCCTGATAAGTCCTCATCCAAGAGATCAACTGCTGAACTGTTGCTGGGCGACTGAGGTGCCTGCGCTGGCTGTGCGTCTGGAGGCTGATTGGGAGTATCAGGTTCTCCAACCAAGGGATTTCTTAGCTGTGACTCTTCGACATCATTGATAGGGAAGGGAATTTGTGCTGCTGGTGGGCTCGGTGGCGCAGACACAGGAGCCACAACTTCATCCGGCAGGTCAGGGAGCGGTTCATTGGGAGAATCTCGGGCCACGATCGGATCCGGCCGCCAGTAGGCTAGAAGTAGAAGTATGACAAGGACAGTCGCAAGGATGATACCGTAGTCCTGAGTGCAAGCAAGGACCCCATTTGTGCCTAGGACGTACATTGCCATGAAACTAGTCGCGAATGTAAACGAGGATCGAACCTTGTGTGCGGGATATGCTTGAGCGGCCATGATCCAGCCTACAGTACATACACTGGTGATTGCGATGATGATCGTCGCACGCCATACCCAATGGTAAGCTAGGCCTTGGCACCAATTGCTGAGACAGCGTGTACCCACAGAAGCTACAACCGGCTGGATTTGTGCCCTGTACAACGAGCTCAGGTTCATCGAGATCCTTCCGAATGCTGAAGAAGTCGTTTTCTGGGTGTTTGTGATGAAACTGGAGGTAGCATTCCTAACGGACTTGGTCGCCCATGCCGGCGAGAGGTTGGTGTGTATACGAGAGCTCGTAGCCCTCTCCGTCGAGGTAGCAGTGTACACATAAGAGCTCGTTGCGCGTTCCCGCGAAGTTGGAGTGAGTTTGCGAGAAGGCGTGACCAAATTCCGTAAAGCTGTCGTGGTTACAGCGGTCCATGAAGTTGACCCCTTAACTGGGGCTGGATAAGACGCAGTGCTAGTAGTAAACTTCTTCACTGTATGAGCAGCTGCATCCGACGTCCTTTCAGTCCAAGGCTGTATGGTGTGCCAGATCGCCGTGAAAAGAGACTGAAACAATGGTATGAATGCATACGTCAATGCCCAGAGCGCGAATACCCCAACGACTGGGCCGGCCCATACTGGTAGTAACCCATATACTGTCCGGGGACCGAGTATAGTTGTCGCGAGAACCCAGCGAACACACTCGCCGACAGTGTTTGGGTGCCACGGGAAGACAGCGCGACCTCTGACAATGAGCATGAACTTGTACCGAGCCCAAGCTTTTACAACCCGGAGTTTCGCTATGCAGATTCGAGAGACTTCGATGATGCCGTCTACGAGGGAGTCGATATAGGAGAGGCCCACAAGCTTGAGAACGACAGCAAAATGGCTGAAGGGTGGGGCGACGCCGCCTCTGAGAAGTCTATCAGCGCACAAAGATGGCTGGTCTATATGGATGAGGATGTATACTACTACTGCAACCGCAGCGTGGTATCGTATCCAGGTTCGCGCAGCGATAACCGATCGGTATGAGCCGCCTACCACGAGGTTTGATATGGTGAACGCCTTTTCGCGATAGATGGAAAGGACGTGTACCGCTGGCACACTGGCCAAGATAACAGCCAAGTCCTGGACGTAAACACTAAGCCAGATGACAGTCATCGCAACAGTGAAGCCGATGCAACAACGAATTAATGTCTCTTTCTGGTGCGGCATGACAGCAGGCACGCTGGGCGACAGATCCTGGGCCTCAGACATGTCTTCATCCTCGCTTGAATCGCTTTCATCTTCTTCGTGGTGATCAACTTCGCGGGTCCTTCGCCCGGCGAAAAGGAGGAAATAAATCGCGATACCGACGAGGGTGGCGTACAACGCCCGGTCTATGATGAAGTGATCGGCTTGCTGCTTTCCCAGGAAGTTGGCTACTGCTTTCTGCCACACGTTGTAGGATACGGATCCGATGCTGCGTGCGTATGCTACAGGTTTGGAGTATGGCAATGTTGGCAGGCGGAATTCCGCGTAGGCGAGATATCCAACGACAAACATGTACGCATTGCGCACCATAAATGCCACCATTTCCTGAATGTCCGGGTCATCCTTATGCAGATGGTCGCATACGGCGAAGAGAATGGATGGCACATATCCCACCATGATATCCGCCATTGTGATAGGGCTACTGTAGTAGGACGGCTTGGTCAGCTTTTGATCTGCTTGTTGTGTGACGTATTTCTCATGAATCGCTCGTCGAAAGTCATTCCATTGTGAGGTTTGGGACTTGGGGGGTGATGGCGAATCTCGGAGTGGTTTGCCAGTCGCCTGCTGTGTGTAGGGTGAAAAGGCTGGTTTGTGTTCTTTCGATGTAACGGTACTGTCCTTGGTGCTGGACACAGGTGCACTGGCAGGTGTCTTAGATGACGGCAAATCTTGGAGTGATTTACTAGCCGCCTTTTGTCTGTAATGTGTAAAGGCTGGCTTATGTTCTGTCATCTTCGAGGTACTGCTCCGGGTGCTTTTGCTGGCCGCGTGTTGCCTATAATGTGTAAAGGCTGACTTATGTTCTTTGAGGCCAGAGTCAATGCTCGCAGTGCTAGATAGGGGAGCACTGGAAACTGTCTTCGTTCTCTGCGGAATGGTAATGGTCTCAAACGAATAGTCTATGATCTCATTGAACGACTGTGAGGTAACCGGTAATTGTTCAACCACAACTGGAGACGTGGTCCAAGAAGGCACCTTGCCAACGGTGGGGGACCCGGTCGATGTGACGTCTCTGGGTGTATCGCTGATGATCGATTCTTTCGATGCCGCGGAGGATTGCGAGCCGTGTAGAAGCCTACTCATCCGGGCTTTAAAGCCTGTGTTTGTAACATTGGAAGAATTTGTGCCCAATACTGACGGTACCTCATGAACAGGATTGCTCTTCTCAGTAGAAGTACTCGTAGTCTTTGCTAGTGAACGCTCTGGACTCTTGCTAGATACCTCCGGAAATGTATCTCTCGGAGTACTAGGTTTCCAGGAGATTTGCGAGGAGCTGCTCGCTGTCGAACGAGCAGAGCTTTCTGTGGCAAATTCAGAGGTGTCCTGGATTGATTCGGAAGACGAGGAAGTGTCCAAAACTTCACCCTTGGCTTGCTGTTCGACAGTGAGGGCTGTGTTGCAAGCGGGTGAGACAGAATTTGTGACGGTGATAACGGTAGGACGGCGAACTTTGGTAACTATCGATTCCACGATGTCGGCTGCGTCTTCGGTGGTATGGGCGGGTTTTGTAACGCGAATCGTAGAAGGAATGGGTTTCTGATACCAAACCTTGGCCTGCTCAAAGTTTGGTATGTAATGCGGCACAGCAGCAACGACAGCACCTGCAGCGTAGATACCGGCTGCTACTTCAGGATGCTGACCCCACAGGTGCGCAAAGGCTTGTATTACAGCGCCAGGAAGGGCGTCCATGGTAGGCGATTTTGCTGGTGCGTCTAGAAGATGTTTGTATCGTAATCTCGAGGATGTGAACACATATGGTGCAATATCATGAGGGCGTGCCTTGTTGAAATGGGCGATGTATGGAGTGTCTCAAACCTGAGAAGCCGGCAGACATGTAGCTGATGAGACAAAGCGTCCTCTCCAGGTCGGACAAGACAAACAGAATTTCGAGTGAAAGGCCGCCACCCTAGCATCAATGTGAAGTTCACATTGCCTTTGTCCGCCGAAAGAGAAAACTTCGGCGTTGTCGTGAGAGACAAGACAATGAAACCAAGAGCGTGCACTTCAAGAGACCAATGCAGCATTGCAACATGAGCGTAATTTTCACTCAGATGTGGCTCGGCGCGCCAAATGGCGATCCGGTCATCGGTGTCAGGGTATCGACCCAGAATAAGGCCTTCGTCACTGGCAGAAATTATCATGCGCTCACTGGCCATGAAGCCTGCGCATGGTCGGAGACGATGAGATCAGGGGAAACACGTGAAGCCAGCGTCGAGAAGGGATACGTCCGCGATCACAGACATATTGCCTCATGACGTGGGCCTGTGTGCGACGGCGATCAGTTCCCATGCCCTTCCACCGATCTGCTCGGCGCTCTGCTCTTCCACAGTCCATCCGGCAAAGCATGCCTTGTAGTCATCCCAATCCGATTTGGGGCCTGCCCATATCACTCTGTCCACGCTGTCCTGGCCATACTGTGCAAGGTATTCGCGTACTAGCCCAACGCGTCGCGGGTATACGAAAAGCCATGTCGTAGCCTCCGCTGCGAGGGGCTCAAGAAAACGCGTGCCGTGAACGATGCGATGGTTTGAGGAAGGCAAGAACTTGTTCGAGCTTGGTTCTACTTCGACCCCTATAACGTCGTACGCGTAGGGTGTGGTGATGAGATAGCTTTCGAGGAGACCGAAGCCGCTTCCGACGGATAGAGCAAGCGCGGGAGGATGAGGAAGGAGCGATGCGAGGTAGGCAATGAGGGTTTCGCTGAGAGCTAAACAGCATCTCGAATAGGCTGTCGGTGAAGTTGTGAGTACTGGCAGTTCCGCGACATCTTCTACTGGGTTTGATGCCTCATTGTCTGACGCGTCCACATCCGGCTGGATGGGTGGCAAGCGCGCCTCGAGGCCCATGATTAGCAAGATTACAGTCGGTAGCGCACGTAGATTCTAATGTGCATTGAGAGCGTGTGGACGCGATGCTGATACAATTCGGCTCCGTCGTGATTGTGAGTGATGACAGAAGCTTGATGGTTCTTGACGCGACTAGACACGCATGCGGCTAAGCTTGGGAGCTATGGCCCATGACATATGCACATCACATGCAATGCACGAGACGCCCCGCCCGCCATCACCAAGCATAGCTACAACCACCGACTCTACTGCATCCTGCGTCATCTCTTCCCACTGAAAGCTTTTGAAAGCTACGTGGCGCCACGAGAGCTGTCATGGCCCGCCTCAACCCATTCTCCTTCACGCCTGGGCCAGTCATCTTCTTTACTACCATCGTCTACGTGGGCCTCTTTGCTGCCCTGCTCGTTACCCACCTGACGGTACCGAATTATCCATCCAATCCGCCAACCGGCGTCAACCTTACAGAAGCTTGGGGCGACCTCCAGCACATTACCCGCCGGTTCCACCCGTACAACAGCCACGCGAACGACGATGTACGCAAATATCTGCTTGCGCGCATCAAGGCCATCGTTACTTCAAAAGACCTAGAAAAGGGCCAAGTCGAGCTCTTCGATGACCTAACCGCAAACGCCACATTTTCATCTGGCAGCACATCTATCTATTTTGAAGGCACTAATATCATTGTTGCAATCCGCGGTTCTGATGATGACGAACCCTTCAATGGAACTGAGCGCAGTCCGGATAATGGCGGCGTACTTGTGAACGCCCATTACGACTCAGTGAGCAGCGGGTACGGTGCAACTGACGATGGCGTGGGTGTTGTGACGATACTGCAACTTCTATCCTACTTCACAGAATCCAAGAACTGGCCCAAAAGAACCGTGGTACTGCTGCTTAACAACGGCGAAGAGGATTATCTCAACGGCGCCAAAGCTTTCATGCGGAACCCGATTTCTCAGGTCGCCCATACGTTCGTAAACCTCGAGGGAGCTGGAGCTGGCGGCAGAGCTACCTTGTTCAGGAGCACCGATACCGAAGTCACCCGCTACTACAAAAAGTCCAAATATCCTTTCGGAACAGTCGTAAGCGGAGATGGCTTCAAAAAGGGTTATATTCGAAGCGAAACTGATTACAAAGTCTTCCACGGCGAACTTGGGCTACGCGGCCTGGACATTGCATTCATGGAGCCCAGGGCCAGATACCACACAGTGGAAGACTCCACACGTGAAACTTCGATGAACTCGCTCTGGCACATGCTTTCAGCAGCTCTGGCCTCAACATCCGGATTGGCTTCCATCACCAGTGACGAATTTAGTGGCTCAGAAAGTCTCGATAACGGTAGAGTCAATGCCGGAACTGGAAGCGACGGCGTGTGGTTTGACCTCTTCGGCAAGGTGTTCGTCATTTTCAAGCTACATACCCTTTTCGCTTTGTGCGTCACTTTGCTGGTTGTGGCACCTCTTACGTTGATTGGGCTCACCTTTGGGCTCTCCAAGGCTGACAAGAACTACTTATTGGCGCGCAAAGCCTACATCCATTCGTCTGACGACGACAATCCAGTACCTTTATACGGCTGGCGCGGCTTCTTCCGCTTTCCCATCATCTTTGTCACTGCAAGTGCTGTTGTGGTCGCATTGGCTTATCTCATAGTCCGGTTCAATCCCTTCGTTGTTTACAGCAGCCCATTCGCCGTCTGGAGGTAGGTCGCTCATGCTGCTACTCTGTCCACTGCTAACGATATCAACAGCATGATGCTCTCAGCCTGGATATTCATCGCTTGGTTCCTTGCGCGAGGGGCCGATGCTATGCGACCATCAGCACTCCAGCGCATGTACGCTTTGATCTGGCTTTTCATCGGCTCCTTTGTGCTTCTCACAATCATCACGGTCTTCGTGAACGACTACCAGGTTGCCGCTGGTTATTCTGCGATGTTCTACTTCGCAGCTGTGTTCGCGGCAATCCTCCTCTCCTACCTCGAACTCTTCCTCGCTCCAACCAAATCTGCGTATGCCCGTCATTTCGAGCAGGAAGACGAATCCCGGCGCAACTCAGAGTCCGCAAGCAGGCCCCTTACAGGCAGCACGACCGCTGCACGGTCCGATGATCGCCCCGTGGGAGACGATGACGCCACCGAGACCACCTCACTTTTACGCGGCGATCGACGTGGATTCGCAAGATACGGCGGCAACAGGCGAGACTCCATCAGCGAGAGCGGCGAGGATCATGCTCAAGGGCCCCGGCGAATAGATCTCGGCAACGTGTATCCTGGAGAACAAGAGTGGAGCGGCAAATTACCGAGCTGGATCTGGGTCGTTCAACTGCTACTCTTAGCGCCAATCGTGATCATCCTTGTAGGACAGGTCGCTCTACTCCTCACGTCGGCCCTATACCAGACGCCATCCGATGGTAACTCGCCTCTGTTTATTTACCTCGCCTTCGCAGCGCTTACTGTGTTGTTGCTCGCACCCACCGGCCCGTTTATTCACCGCTTCACATATCACATCCCCACCTTTTTATTCCTGATATGCATCGCAACCGTCATCTACAACCTTGTTGCGTTCCCTTTCAGCAGGGATCATCGCTTAAAGGTGTACTTCGTCCAGCGGGTTAATTGCGAGACTGGTCATAACGTCGTGTCCCTGACCGGCTTGGACGGCTATGTGCAACGCATTGTTGGCGAGTTACCCAGTGCGCAAGGCCAGCAGCTTGATTGCACGACGCCCGAGGTTGCGACGCGTAAGGAACTAAAGCAGTGCCAGTGGCAGGGTCTTGACGCTAAAGTCGTCCCAAAGACAGCGCAAGTCGCGCCATTTGACAACAACACGTACATTGCTAGCTGGCTCAATTACTCGATCCATAAGGGCAATCACTCAAACAAGGCGACGATACGCGTTGTTGGGCATAACACCCGAGCATGTCGCGTGCTTTTCGACTCGCCCATCACAGCGTTGAGCGTCGACGGCGCCGTTTCAGATCCTCGCTTCAAACCCGTCGGTGGGGACGGCGCCCGGGAAGTGCGACTGTGGCATCGCGAATTTGGGCAGCCCTGGAACGTTAGCGTGACTTGGAACGCCAAAGAACAATCGAAACTTTCTGGAAGGGTCGTGTGCATGTGGTCGGACGCCAACACAGGCGACATCCCTGCTTTCGACGAGGTGCAGCACTATCTGCCTGTGTGGGCAATTCCCTCCAAGATTAGCGATGGCTTGGTCGAGGGCTTCAAGCAGTTCGAAATCTAGGGCAGCGGGCTTTAGTTGCGGGGATCCCTGCATGTCTCCGTTACTTTTGCTGCGATATCCATCACGCAAGCAGTCGAGCACGGCGTCACAGCTCACATGCAACCCCTCACTTCAATTACTCATTTATGCGAGCTTCCCCTTTATCTCATCAATGCCCCAACTTGTTCACGATCCATTTGTTACTGTTCTTTTTGGAGTTTGGCGGTATCATGTTCACGGCCATTGCATCTTGTACACCCAACGTATAGCATCTTGACGTCAACTTAATGAACTCTATTATTACGACGCCCAAGGCCACCACCCCTCGCTTCATTCTTCGACTCGCCCAATTCCAGCCTCTCGATTCCACGTCTCACCACCGAACCGTTCGACAGCTTGGCTCGTACCAGAATGCTGAGAGCGTTTGACGGAGCCCAAGACACTTCACAACGTTATCCGCTACCTACCGACGCAGGATTTACCCCTGCTTTGACCCGAAGGTTTCTTTTAGCTGCGGGAGAGACTATATCATCATCTATAGAGCCATCGACTTTGTCATCGACGTTGACGACTACTCTTGGTTCGATAGCTACTCCGGCTGTCTGTATCGCCAGTCACCCATCTGAGCTCGCAGGACCAGGATCCAGATCAGGTATGTTAAGCGGCTCGTCTTCGCATGGACGCCCTGTACACCTCGTTGGTTTACTAATCCCGCTACAGGCGACACTCCAGTCGTAAGTGGCGTCTACCGTCTTCTCAGCAGGACGCGCGACACTGAAGTTTTCGGACTTACGTCGGGATTGCACAACCTGATCGACACGCGGCGCAGGGTATTGGACTTTGCTTTTGACTCGCCCCTTTCCACGGTCATCGTCACAGCCTTACCGGGCACTTTTCTCCTAGTTGCGCGCCAACGGCCCGACACTTGGGCGAACAGACATCAGACGTCAATTGCAAACGCATTGCACCTCGTCGCACTCGCCAGCTGCGCGAACCACAAACTCGAAGCAGGCGATTTATTGATACTTGTTTTCGTCATGGTCGCGTTTGACGTGTTTCAGCGAGTGTTAGCGGCGGGCGCTACCGATGCTGATAGCAAATCAGATCTTCAACCCCGCTCGCCCTCGTCATCCGAAACCCCCCGGGCCCAAACGCCTTGTGATCTGACCAATGCGGCTACCGTGCCCATTCCCAAGACATCCGCCGTCGAGGATGAAGATTTCGAGCCCATTGAACCAATCTCGACCTCTCAATCAGGGGCATCCGACACAAAAACGATCGCCGTTGACCCTAAAGATAGCGAGATCGTGCGACTGCAACGCTCGCTCACAGAATCTAAAACAGCACACAAGGCCCGTGAAGTCCAACTTCGAATCACGAAGGAGGAACTTCGAAATGCACGCGAAGCGCTCAATGATACCTTTGCGGAATACTCTGGTCTCCGTGATCAGCTGAAAGCCATCAAACAAAACTTGGGCCGGGACCATCAGGCGATTGTATACCGGAAAGACATCGAGCTGTTTGCACTTCGAAAGGGCAACGAGCAGAAAGACAAAAGCATACAGGACCGCGATAGCCAGCTTGAAGAGATGGCCAGGCAACACAAGACGATAATGGAGGTCAAAGATGCGCAGCTGAAGCTAATGAGGGAGCGGTTGATCTCTATGGAACGACAGTCGAGCCCGCGGTTTTCGGAAGACGGGGACGACGGTCATGCTCTTGAAGTCAGAATGCTACGGATCAAGAAGGGCAGAAGTTCTCCGGAGGTTGAGGAAGACAAGGATGTGATCATCGCAAAGCTGCGAGAACAACTCGCCGCCAGTGCCCAGACCAAGGAGGAGGTTGTCAATCAGCAAGCCGAGCTGCAAAGATCATGGGATGTTGCCAAGAAGATCCAAAAGGCCCTCAAGGAAGAGCGAGAAAAGCACACTCAGACTCGAGAACAGTTGGAGGAGTCCGCCGTTAAGCTGGCGGAACTTGAGCCACAGAGAAGTCGAGCAAACTCCGTGGTCGGACGATTGCCTACGATTGACGAGGATGAGCACGACAAGGAAGAGCTTGAAGCTATGTTCAACACCACCCAACAGGACAACCTTCGCCTATACGCCGAGGTGGCCGCTCTCGAGAAGCGACTGGTCGAGGCTAACGCCCGCTTGTTTACTGCGCTTCAAGAGGCTGAGGCTATCAAGGTGCAGCTCAACCAAGAGATGGAAGTCAACGAGGACATGGAGACCGCACGCCCAAGCGTAGTGCATCGTGTTCACTTCCAGCGCATGGAGGGTCAGGTGTCCGAGCTGCGGGAAGCACTTGCCAGCAAGGACGAAGAGATGGAGTTACTGAGGAACACCATTGCAGAGAAAGATCACTACGTCAAGGACATCCAAGGTGAACTTGACGCCGCTGCCACCTTCCACACACAGGACCAAGACGAGATTGAACGCTTGCAGCAATCCATCGACGAACTCAAAGCCACCAAGTATCAGCTCATGCTCGATCACGAGCGCCTCGGCTCCCAGCGCACCCGGCAGCGAGTCATCTCCATGGACCGACCTGACCGTTTCTCTGCTCGCTCAAGTGGTGCGACACTCATCCACGAACCGAGTCCACCGCTGACGAAGATATCAGACGAGGCACCACCCGTGGAAGCGATACCGATCCCCCCTATGCCTGTAGTCCCGGAACGCGAAGGCAGCATCCAAGAGACTCCCCAACGCCATCTCCGCAGCAAGAGCTCGCCTAAGGAGACACCCAATCGCTGGAGCCTGATGTCGCACGACGTCCCGCCCGCCGAATTGAGAGAGCTGAAGACCAACCGCAGGAGGAGTCTCGGCCTGAAAGTCATGATGCAGAAGATCGTCCGCAAGACCCAAGAACCCGAGCAGCCATCCACCGATTCCGCGACACCAGCTCCAGAAGCCCTTCCCAAGCGCGAAGAATCCAAACTGCGCCGCGTCCTCGCACCCAAGGACAAGAACATGTCCATCCGTCCTTCCACCGCCGCATCAGCCATTCCATCCAAGCCCGTCGGCTCCCAAGCTGCCGATACACCGTTGACATCGCCTCTTCCAACGAACGTGCGTCCGCCGAACCCGCGACGCAACACACCGACTACACCGCGCTACTACGCTGTTACTGCGAATGCGACGGGCCCGGAAGCGGGTGCGGCGCAGAAAGAGGAAGTGAAGGAGAAGGAGAAGGAAGGGGAGAAGGAGAGGCCGAGGTCCGCGATGGGGCCTGAGGCAGCGGCGAAATCGAAGAGTCGGTTGAGTTGGGGTGCTACGTAAGTTCTTCCAATGGTGCGAGATGATTTGATGGTGAATGTTTGCTAACGAAACGCAGGAATAAGCTGAAGCGACGATCATTGTACTGATGACGACGATGATGTGAAATGGGCATGCGAAACGTGGAGTATGCATTTGTCTGTTATGGCGTTCAAAATGGGGTTCTTTGCGATATCCTGATATACGAGTTTAATGCTATCCGATGATATACGCTCGGTAGATGGGGTGATGGGTGGGATCTTTTTGGCATTTTCATTAGGCAATGGGCGTTTTGTTAGATTTGGGTATGCATTCGCTTGCGGCTTTGGTTTGGCTGGTTTTGTTGGTTTCGCCTTGTTAAGTAATGAAGATATTTACAGTTCATGGTGGTCTTGGTTGCGCCTGCGTGTTGTAGCCTCGGAGGTACTGAACCCCGCTATGCACGTGGGCAGTGAGATGCAACGCAATCGCGCCTGATGTCGCTGCCTGCTGCAAACTAACGTGCTCTTCAACAGACATTACTGATGCGCATCTCTTGCACCTACCCCTCTTTCGATCATACACGGTGCTGCGAAACCACTACAACGACTCGGCTCACGAAGCAGCACACAAATGGGCTCAAGAGTCTAGGAAGCACCTTGGGCTTCAAGATCGCGACTTCCCTGGATCTCAACGAATTACCAATTGGAATTGTGGATTGCAAACATGCAGCGCGACGACCATCTGCCTTTGACCGAGATATACAGCTCACCAGAGGCTCTTCACGAGGAGGTTGAGAAGATTCTCGATCTGGCACTGTACAAGGTCCCAGAGAACACGCCAATCAAACTTCGCTTCATTACGCCTGTATCCGTCGAGAAATGGCTTGTAGACGACAGCTACAACGACTACCGACTCACAACACCAGAGGAACATGCCGATGGCATGGAGTACATTACTGTTTCCTACTGCTGGAAGCATACACAGTCCATGGAAGGTCGGCCACCACTACCGCATTATCATATATCGGACTGGTCGAAAGCAGGCGAACCTATACCTATCGGCTGTCCGACGTTGGTCTTCCATCGCGCAATGCTGTTCGCCAGATCTCGCAAATGTGCGTTCGTTTGGATTGATCAAGAATGCATTGATCAGACCGACCCTACAGATATTCAGGCACATCTGAAGATCATGCATCGGGTATACAAAGAGAGCAAGTGGACGGTGGCGCCACTGTCTCATCCAATAACGGATCGTCGTTCTTTGGAACAGCTGATTACATACCTCTATCACGACTGTAAATACAACAAGGATGTGACGAACAGAGAGTCCTCTGAATGGCCTCCAGTAAGTGAGCGAGTTAAAGCGGCCACAGAACTGCTTACGTCCATTGCACAAGATGCTTGGTTCCGCCGAACATGGGCATTCCAGGAGAAAAGATTTGCCTCGGCGTTATTTCTTCTGGTTCCTATTGAGGTGTCTTCCAAGATATCAGACGACGTGCACCTCCATATGATAGGTGCAGATCTCTGTTTCGATGCAACATACTTCGACGACTTGTGTGGCAGGCACATGGCCGACATGCTCCATGTTTGCAGTCTCAATAAAGATGAGAAATGGACTTTTCTACGGACTCATCGATTCTACGAGAATTTTGCCACTTCCCGAGACTACACCTCAAACCGTACCTGGTGGGGCTGTCTTGCCATATTCAGAACTATGCAGGATTGCGATAACCAAATGGTGGCGGACCGCATAGCAATTTTCGGACATATATGTCGATTTCGGAACCGACTCGCCTCATGCATGCTGGATAGTGGTAATTACGGCCTGAGCGCATGCATCCTCGCTTTGTTGTTGGGAAATATCAACATCACACGCGATGGGCGCTTGGGACTTGTGGAAAAGACATGGGCTGGACTGGAAGAGAGTAGCAAGGTCAAGACGTACGCGCCGAATATCACAGCGTGGATGCTGGTTTTGTTCGACAAACAGTATCATTCACCAGAGATTGCATTCTTGAGATATTGACTGAAGGATCTCATTGAAGTTAGGACTATTTGCCTGTACTGACTATACTATGGCGATTGTTACCCGACTGTATATGACGCTTTGCATTGCAACGAGTAGTATGTCATTCTCAAGCTGGAGCTGCCCGGCAGGGTGAGATAGGCTTCTCTCAGGACATACTGATTACGGGGTGAGCAAAGCCCGCGGGTATCGACTAGCAAGTTACCTCTTCTTCGTAAACGATTCTCCAATTAAATGAACCTAGTACCCAAACTAGAGTAGTCGCAAGGGTCAATCAGTAGGCCAGCTTGCTTGTTCTCATCGATAGCCAAGATGTGCAGCTATCATGGATCAGTCGAGAAAGCCATCTCGCTTCGTTCACTTCTCATACACGCTCGGTCTCGATCCATGGACCAGAAGTCACAGCGTGCAACAACGCACATTCAACCCACAACTCTGGGGAGACATGCAACCCAACAGCCACACGCCCTCCCAAGCGCGCCAGCGACGCCACCGTGCCCCTCGCCCCGCCAGCTCAGCATCGACCCCACTTCGCGTCACTCTGTCATTGGACGCGCGTGCCCTTCGACGCACAACAACACGCGTGATAGACTGCGCATGAGGGACCATTGCATCTGCAGCCTTTCTGTTCGCGATTGGACGGGTGTGCCCTTCAATACATGTGGCTTATTGACGTGTCACCGCCACGGCTCACCGGAGTCTGGGCACTTTGGGGGCCAGAGGCTCTGTTGAGCGTTAAGGTTGGGGAAAGTTGGGGAAAGTTGTCACGATGGGGATGGCAAGGTTAAGGAATGACTGGCATTTCACTAACTACAACTATCAAGGAGCGACGTAACTAAAAGGCAAAAAGAGCAACAAACGCTCGCAGTAACGAGTGTGCTAGTAAGCAGCGACAAGAGTGTAAAGACCGACATGCGTTACTCGAGAAAACATTCGTAAGGCTGGGATTAGAGACACGGAACAACTACAGGCGCAAAGGGTTGCGACCTCCGTGACCCCTCTTGGCATGATCGCGAAGCTTGTCTGCGCGAGAAAAGGTCTTGGGGCAATCGACCATAGGGCATCTGTACCTGGCAGGCTCGTGAATCATCATGTGGCGACGATACTCTCCACCGCGACCGAAGGTTGCTGGACATCCATGTGGACAGCGGATGCGGTTCGCTGCAGCAGGGGCAGGGGCCTGAGCTGGCGTTGCTGAGACCATTCCTGGGTAGGACGCTTCGTTCAGCTGGGCGGCACTCCCGATAGGTATGTTTGACTGATCAAAGTCCTGGATACAATTAAAGTCCCAGGCGGGTGCCATCAGGGCTATTGAGAAGGCGGGTTCCGGGTGGAATTCACCGTACGAGAGGTTCAACGACTCGTCGTGAAGACCAGCGTTAAGGTTGAAACTCCCAGGACGGTAGACATCTAAGGCGGCAGCGTTCCAGGGATTAGCCTGCCAAGGGTACTCAGCAGGGTACTGAGTACCAGCATCATGTTCTGGCTGCGCGAGTGGAAGATTCCCGTTGGTCGATGCAGCTACCCGGGGGAGGAGGGCGCCGTGGTGATCGACGGCTGGCTCATGGAAGGGCACGGCGTAGGCGTTCTGGAAAGTCTCGCTGGAGCGCATGTGGGAGGCATACCTGCATGGTGTTAAAAAAAAAACGTGACCTACTCAAACCCCTGGTGGTTTTCGTGGTGGTCTGCCACGAGCGATGGAGAGTTGTAACAGTCGCGTTCGGAGGCCGTCCTAAGGAACTGCTGCGACATCCTGCTGGCTGGCTGGCTGGCTCGAGAAAAAGGCTGTCGCTGTTGAGGATATTGGGAAATATGTATTTGGTATCGGCGGATGAGTACAGTGTAAAATAATCGCCGTGGTAGGCAATAAGTTGATGTTGAGAGGAGTACGTTCGATAAGCTTGCGAAATCGGGGGGGCAGGGAGGGGGGAAGCGGCAGGTTAAGAGGCTCATGAGACTGGCTGCCAAGCCAAAGGTATATAGCTTGCGTGCCCTTCGGGGACCTCAATGTGCCTAAGCTGCTAACCTCATCTGGGATGTCGGACACGAAACTGGATTCGCGCCCAGAACCTCAAACCTAGATGCAGATATAAATAAAGGGCCTAGTCCAGGCATGCTAAAGACATCAAAATGACCTTCGATAGATTTTTGTGTCCTATCTGCTCTAAGAAGACAGATACACTGGGAAAGCTGAAGTAAGTCAGTGTGCTGGTCCACTTAGCCACTGCTAACGCACGGGAGTAAGCATGAGAAAACACACACAAAGCCTTTCATCTGCGAAACTTGTAAAAAGGGCTTCGCACTCCGTGTAGATCTCAGCCGTCACATCAAATCTCGACACCGCACGGGTAATGAACAGTATCGTTGCCATGTCGAGGGCTGTTCATTCACTTCCAATCGCAAAGATAACCTCAAAAGGCATCAAAGAAACAAACATAGTTCCACGCTCCTAAGCAGCCACGTCAGGATGAGCAACGACACGCAGGCTTCACTGCAGCAGTCCGAAGTCCTCAATACTACACCGCTGTGTAGTGCGTCAAACTTCATGCAAGTAGCCACTTTGGGCGACTTGAACCAGCTGCGCGTCTTCCTGGATGCAGGCTTAACGGTTGATACGAAGGCCGATGACGGATCCACTGTCTTACATTGCGCTGCTAGAGCCGGCCAGGTGGAGATGGTCAATTATCTGCTTGATGTTGGCGCAAGAGTGGATGCAAGGAATGGAAGCGGTCGATTGCCGCTACATGAGGCTATCCTAAGTAATAGCACAGAGACATTCGAGTCTTTGCTGGGGTTCATGACGCAAGAAGAACTTCGTTCGCCTGGACTGCAACTGAAGCGCTACCTTTCCCAAGCGTGTCATATTGGCATCATTCATGCATACCTCGCCCGTCTTGGATTCGATTTTACAAACCAATCTGCCCCGGAAAAACTCAAATTTGCGATACATACAGGACACGACACACTTGTGGCGAACTTACTTGATGACCCTAGAATCGACTGCAATTATCGGCAAGGAAATAGCTACGGCTCAATACACTTAGCAGCGATAGTAGGGCGGGAAAAAGTCATGCAAGTCTTTCTCGCTTCCAGCCGCGTCGACAAGACCTTGAAAACCTCCCGCGGCAGGCAAGCACTGCATCTGGCTGCCATCAAGGGGCATGCGGCCATTGTAGAGCAGCTTATTCATCATCCTAGTGTTGATGTTAATTGCCGAGACAATTACGAAGCGACAGCCCTGCACTATGCATCGTCGAATGGTCATGCAAATGTCGTTGAACAGTTGGTTCGCCATCGAAGCGTCAATGTTAGTTGCAAAAACAAGGAAGGAGCAACACCTCTGCACTGTGCATCATCGAAGGGACGCACGATGGTCGTTGAACAGTTGATTAGCCTACCAAGTGTGGATGTCAATTGCCAGAACAGGAACGCATCGACACCTCTGCACCATGCATCAAAAAGTGGACACACAATGGTCGTAGCGCAATTGATTCGCCATCCAAATATTGATATCAATTGCCAATGTATGGATGCGGCGACACCTTTACACTATGCAGCCTCCAATGGGCACTGGGAAACGGCTTCTTTTCTTCTTAAACACTCGGAGTCAATGAAATACGGTCGTTGCATATCGTCTGATGTTGCGCAAACAAGCCTCTCGTTCTCCAAAGAAGTTGAGATCCATAGGCTGCTTAAACATCCAGACTTCGGGTGTCCGAACAAAAGACTGCCAGGAGGAAAGACTGTTCTTCATGTCGCTGTTTTTAAGGGCGACTGCGAAGCAATCAGAGTTCTGCTAGCTTACCAAGGCATCGACGTGAACATGTGTTTCGGAAGTGGTATGAGTCTCAGTCCTCTGATGATAGCAGCTCAGCGGGGCAAATTGGAAGCAGTGAAATTACTTCTTCAGCACAAACACATCGACATAAATAAAAAAGGTGGATGGATGGGTAATACGGCGTTACGTTATGCAAGTCATTACAGCAACAACGAGATCGTCGACCTCCTCCTGTCCCACGACGCCATCGACAACGACGCCAAAGCACCAACAACCGTACCAACACCCACACGCCCCGACGACTCGACTCACTTCGATTATCTCGACGATGATATGGACGGGGCACCAACTGAAGCTTGGGAAGAGTTCCGCGACATGGATGAAGGAATGGAGGTATGAAGATTGTTTTTATCAGGCGTTGGGTGATTTCGGATGGTACAATCACGGGTTTCACTAGTAACATGTCGGAAGAACGTCCTTTTCCTTCCAAAACATGTCTTGATAGTCTTTAGTAAAGCTTAGTAACATCTTGTCTCCTAAGAAGTTATTTCTTACCTAAACCAGTCTGGCCATTGCCGCTAACTCTCAACTTGAGTTCATCGACTATACCAGTGTCTCATGCCATGCGACTTTAAACTGTAAATCTTGGGCTCTGAATCACGCTCCACGGTGCTTGCTAAGAGCTATTACACTGTTATTAAGCATTACTCTACACTCCATCAATACGCTACCCACTCCTTTTATACCCACTCCTACTCCTCAACACCTCACCATACCTTGCTAACACAAACGGTATACACGCACCCAAAACACTCAAACACCCCAACAACGTACACGCCCACTGCGGCCCTAATCTCCGAAACATCTGAACTGCAAACAACGGAAAGGTTCCACCAAGTACATATCGCAATATAGCATTCGAAGCCATAGCACTGGCACTATACAAAGGCCCATAGGTATCAGTAATATACATCATGCACGCCATGAAAATAAGCATATTACCCATACCAAAGAAAGCTTCGGCGATGGTCGGTACAATCCAATGGACGCGGTAAGCGGCCGACCAGCCGAAGAGGAAGAGGCCGATTGTGAGGATAGGTCCACCAGCAAATGCGAGGGGTAACCGCTTCTCGGGTGCGAGTCGTGATGTTGCGAAAGCGGGTGCTGGAGCCTTCTCTGCAATCGCTTTGCGCACGCGAGGCAGGTAGTAAAGTTTACTAAAAGAGACGATGCAGATGGTAGCGACGATGACACCGACGCCCAGACCCAAGAATGTGTAGCCTGTGGAGAGACTGTCGAAGCCGTATTCTGTTGCGAAGACGTATGGGAAGGCGGCGAAGAAGGCGTATAGCAGGCCGAAGTTGAAGGCAGAGTACGTATTGAAGGTCGCAACGATCGGCTCGGTGAGCAGCATATGCATCGGCCGAGTAAGCGTCTTGGTGGCATACGTACTGACAATCTTCGGCAACGACATGCCTTCAGTCGGCGACCGCGGCAGAGGAAGATTCCGCTTCTTTGCGCGCTGACGCAGGAGGACGGGCTTATACGACTCCTTGTAAAACGGCGCAGGCGCAATGACAAGCACAATGGTGAAGAAGAGTATCAACCAAGACGTCCAGCGCCAGCCACGTGTCTGCGTTACCGCAGCACCTAATATCGGTCCTAAAGCTGGACCCATGAATGGCGTTGCGACATACAGCGACATGGGACCAGACCGCTTCTCAGGCGGCCAGATGTCGCTCAAGGTGCCTGATCCCATGCTCAGACTTGGAGCAGCGAAGAAACCAGCCCAGAACCTCAACACCACCAGACTTGCCATACTCTGTGCGAACCCCGTGCCGAGGATGAAGAGCGCGAAGATGGGCAGGCTGATGAAGATGAGGGGTCGTCGTCCGAATGTCTCGCTCAAAGGTGCTGCGAAGGGGCCGCCGAAGGCTAGTCCGAGAGCGTATATAGAGTATGCGAAGGTTGCGACGAGTTGGGTGGAGTGGAGGTCTGATGCTGATTGTTCGATGGCGGGTGTGAAGACGGATGATGCGAAGGTTCCTACGAATGCGATGCCTGATATGGTGTACGTTTGGTACCACTTTCGCGCTGCACTCCAATTGTGAGGGTTGAGAGGATCGTCTGGACTGTCCCAGTCGAGCGCTGAAGGGCGATCTTGCGACGAAGCATCGGTGGCGTTTGGTGTTGCTTCTTGACCTGCATTTGGTGGATGACCTTTCTCGGGGTCGACGCCTGGATTGTAGTCTGCTATGGTCGACTGCTGGCGACTTTTGTCATGGTCCTTTTCGATGTTGACAGGACTTGGTGGTCTTGTCGATGCTGCTGTAGTATTCGACCAGGAAACGGGTCGTGAAGCATTCGGAAGCGCCATGCCGTGTGCTTTTCACCAGACTGTAACTTGAGAAGCAACAGCTGGCAAAATTTCGACAGAACTTTCGCAGGGCATGACAGAGGTGCTCGCGCCACGATCTTAGTATGACCCACCACGATGAGATTCCGATAAGCAGATGTTCTGAACAGACGGCATGATCGCCGCTTGTGTGTTAGTTTGGCGTTGATCAGATATGGCCAAAGAGTTCTACGATCAGGATTGGTAGGTATCGAAACTGTACATGGCCGATCCTGGCTCAGATCTTTCCAAGAATCGGCATGGTGAGCTTGTTCGAGATCAAGATGCGGCTGAAATTGTGGATCGGGTGAAGCTAAAGTTCGGGACCGTGCCGGGCGCTACACTGGCGAGTCGAGCATGATGACGTCCTTTCTTCGATCTCAACATTTCGAGGATACTTATGACAGGCTTAGAGGTGTCAAAAACCTTGTTGATGCGCAAAGAGAAGAAAATCGTCGACATAAGCGAGCACTAGTCATCTGTTGAGTCGCTGAAGAGCATGCAATTAGGTTCATCTCGTCGATGTCAGACAGCTGGGAACGCGATGACGAAGTACACCTACTTGGCCGGGAACTCAGTTGTTATCGCGCTCTAATGCAATCTGCTGCATAGCTTCGCACAACGTGTCGCGAATCAGCAGCGCATGTCGTCGCAGCGGTCTGAGCTAGAAGCCCAGACTCCTCGCCGAAGTGATCCTGCCTGAGCCCCGTAGACGCGTTCACACCCAACCCACCTAGAATCGCGGACTATCGCAACAAGAAGAAAAGTTACGCCGGGGGTGGGGAGCGAAGGATAGGGAGGAAACAAAGTCTCGCAACCGTTGCCAAAAGACATCGCTGGAGCCTTAGGCTATCCTTCATGGTAGATCCTGCAGTACTGCGCCCGCTAATCGCAGGTCCGACCCAGCCAATCGCGCCAAAACACCAACACCACCAACACTCCCCCACGCGTCCGTAGAGGCTCATCTACCACGACGCTCACGATGGATGAAGGTAAGATTGCGAAAACTTTGACTGAGCCACTGCATCGCCTGCGTAATCGCAAACTTGCGCAAGCAGCACGAGAACGCTACGAGCATGTATAACTACGCGCTGTCTCGTGTCTAAAAGCGATAGCAACGATTCAACTTCGATCTAACTTTCCCATATCCAAGACTTGCAAAACAAGATTCTTTTCGAACAAACATTCTGTATTCGCCATGTCTTCAGTTTTGTCGCTCGAAATTGCGCGCGCTCTATTTCCAGCACTCACAAAGCACCAGTCGCTTGAATCATCCTCAACAACAGAGTGTTGCTCTTCATCCACCACAAACATCGACCCAGTATCCCGCATCAAGCTCCAAGTACGCGCAGACGACAAGTCTTTGTCTCCATCAATATACACACCAAGCCACGCCAGGGAGTGCATCGGGTACGCTGCACCGCTACCACATGTCGGTCTAGCCACCTCACAATGGCGACGAAGAGGATGAACCGGGGTCCGAGCGCGTGGAAGGAGGGTTATTGGAGAAAAGGGGGGAGGATAGATTATGTTTGCACTAAAACGCCAAACAAATGCTATTGCTCGCGCCCTATAAAGGCAGGAAGAAAAATAGAAATCACTAACTGAACGTCTAAAATCATACACCGCCACAGCCATGCCCATCTACAACCCATCTTCCTTACTGCACATCAAGCACATTCTTCAACTGCACAATCAACTTCCACTCATCCTGACTAACATCGCTCCTAAAGTACTCCTTGAGCGTATCAATACTCTTTCTGCTAATAGCAGAGTAAAGGATATCGTCTTCCTCCAAGTGGCGACCGTACATGGGCTGGTTGGAGCCTTCGATCTTGACGGCAACGGAAGGCTGGCCTCGCTTGCAGATTTGCATGGGTTTGTGGTCGCGCTCGATGGACGTGCTGTTGAAAAGGATTAGTAAAGGTGATGTGGGAGGGAGGGAGGGGAAAGGTATGGGACAACTTACACTCTTCCTAGATGAACGAGTTCTTTGGCACCGGTGGTAGCGTTCTTCTTGACGGCGCAGATGGGCGTTGTCATTCGGAGTGCGCCTTCAGTGACATCTACACCAATGATGATGGGGTCCTTCTTGTTGAAGACAGCAACGGGCTTGAGTACGCAGGGGAAGACGGCCAACATCTTTGAGTCCTCCTTCCGCTGCTCCTCGAGCTGCTTCATGTGCGCTGTGAACTTGTCGAACAAGTGGTAAATGATATCAGCTTCGAAGATCTTGACACCGATTTCCTCTGCGTATGCCTTGGCGTCCTTGTCGACTTTAACGTCGAAACACAGCATGACGGCGTATTCCTTGGCCTTTTCTAACATGATACCTGCTCGAAGGACGTCCTTTCTGAAGACGGGACCGATAGAGATGGTGGCGACGGGAATCTTCGATACACGTAGGAACTCAAGGAGAGCTTCGAGTGAACCAAGGGTAGACGCTTGTACGGAGACACCGCGACCAGTCTTGGAAACCTTGCTGAGCAAATGGGCTAGATCACCCATGACCTCGTCCATGAGATCCTCCTCGTCGTCATTCGGACCGACGACAAGCAGACGCGAACCTGCGATGGCTTGGTCGAGACCGTCGGCGGCGATCTTGATACCCATGGCAGCCTTGACTTCCTTGTTGTGCACGTATTGCGACTTGACACGCAATTCCTTCATCTCAGCCGGTGTCAACAGCGCTCGAATGTTCGTCACTATAGGCTCCGGATTACCACATAGCACTATCCGGTCACCTTCGTGGAGGACACCGTTGGACAAGATGACATCGATAGTGGTACCGAGACCTTCGATGACTTTGACTTCAAGCACAGTACACTCAACCTCAGAAAGGTACATGAGGTTGTTAGTCAGACGCTCTTGCGTGAGTCTGACGATGAGCTTGATCATGTCTGGAATACCTTCTCCGGTATGCGCTGATGTGGGGCACACGGAGACGAACTTGGACATGCTCTTGTTTCGGTTGAAGATCTCCGAGTTGAAACCTTGTTCTTGGAGTTGGGTGCGAACAAAGGTCCATCGCTCCTCAAACTCGGACTGGACGGAGGCCTTTTGGAGGCTCAAACTGTCTTCGAAACCGTTGTTATCGATCTTCTTCCAGCCGAACAGACGATCGATCTTGTTGAGAGCGACGATGAAAGGTGTGCGCCTGTCTCGGAGTAGCTTCATCGATTCGATGGTTTGAGGTTCAAGACCGTGCATGATATCAATGACGAGGATAGCAATGTTGCAAAGCGAGGAACCACGAGACCGGAGGTTGGTGAAAGACTCGTGACCGGGTGTATCGATGACTAGGAGACCGGGGACATTGAAGACGAATTCGTTGTCCTTGTTAACGACAGCAACCTTCTTCTGAAGTGCCTCGACGGGGAAGTAGGTGGCACCAATTTGTTGTGTGATACCTCCGGCCTCGCCTTCTTGCACATTGGTCTGACGGATCTTGTCGAGCAGCTTCGTTTTACCAGTATCGACGTGACCAAGAATACAGCAAATGGGAGATCGCAGGTTGTCTTTTGACCGCGCGGCAAGAGCCTCCTCGTGAGCCTGCTTCCGTCTTTCGGCGGCGGCAGCTTTACGAGCGGCTTCGGCCCGCTGAGTAGCAGTGCCTTCCTCGTCTTCGGATGAATCGTCTTCGCTGTCGTCTTCGGAATCAGAGTCTGAGCTGGTATCCTTGGACTTGGAGGCGTCGTCTGCTGTAGACTTCTCCGCTGCCGCCTTGTCTTCCTTGGCCTTCTTCTCGCTTGCTTTGCGCTCTTCTTCCTCGTCGGTATCGACATCCCAGCTGTCTTTGACTCCCTCCAACTCGTCAGCTTGGGCTTCCCAGTCGTCGGCAGAGTCACCGTCCTCGCCCTTCTTCGCTTCGGCGTCAAGTTTAGCCTTCTCTGCGGCCTCAGCTGTAGCGGCGGCTTGCTCCTCGGCCAGTTTGAGTTCCTCCAGCTTCTTGGCGGCCTCCTCAGCTTCGCGAGCCTCCTTCTCCTGTTGGGTCTCGGCTTGCTTCTTCTTCTTTTTCTTGCGGTCATCGTAGACTGGCTTCTTCTTCTTGTCAGCCTCGTCGGCAAGTCCAGCAACCTTTGTGCCACCTTGCTCAAGCAGCTGCTGCAGACGGAGTTCGTTCTTTGCCTTGGCCTCTTTCTGAGCCTTTGTCATGTACTTGCCCTCTTTCTTCAGCTGCTCGATCTTTTCCTTCTCTCGCTGCTTCTTCAAAGCCTTAGCCTCCTCTTTCTTCTTCTGTTCCTCGGCCTCTTGTGCCTCAAGCGCCTCCAGCCTAGCTCTCTCTTCGGCTTCTGCGCGCGCAATTTCTTCCTCCCTCCTCTTGCGCTCTTCCTGTTGTTTTTGAAGGGCAGCTAGCGCAGGGTTCAGCTTCTTCTTCTTGCCACCAGCGGCGGGGGTAGTGTCTGCGGCAGCGGCTGAGGGTGCAGCAGCGGCTTCTGGTTTGGCTTCGGCGGCCTTCGCGGGTTCGGCTTTGGCAGGACCAGTGGCCTTCTTCTTCGCAGCCTAGGATGCGGTCAGTACACACTCATGCAATGGACATGACAGATGCTGCGAACATACTAATTCCTTCTTTCGCTGCTTCTCCTTCTCCTTCTTTTCTTTCTCCTTCTCTGCCTTGGTCTTTACACGAGGAGCATCGTCCGTCTTCTCCTCGACAGGCTCCTCTGCTTTCGCAGCAGCGCCACCCTTGCCCTTCTTCTTTCCGTAGTTTCCAGCAAAGACATCATCGTCATCGTCGTCGAAGGTTCCTTCTTGGGGTGCCTTGGCATCGAAGTCTCCATTCGCGCCGTCAACAGGCGGGTCTTCGCCTTCCACTTCGGTGTTGGCGCCCTTCTTGTTCTTCTTCTTGCCGCGCTTCGCAAGAGCCGCCATCAGGCCGCCGCCAGCAGCATCGTCTTCGGCGGCAGCATCCTCAGGCGCGGCATCAGCTGCAGCGGGATCCTGGGGCGCGACAGACTCGCCGAGCTCGGCTTCCCAGTCGT